GAGATCTGTGCCTCTAAGCAAAGGCTTTATCAGCAGGTCCCAGTCACTGCTGCTTGAAAAAAGAAAACGGTACTGATGAAAACCAATATACCTGATTTCCAAAAGGACACCTACCATGCACGTATACATTTAATTCATAAAGGGCTTCTGTCCCCAAACTCACACTTAGTTCTCAAAATCCCATCTCATATCCACAGTGATTGGTACCAAGGAGATAAATATGTAAAATTAAATCTCAAACCAAACTATTCATTCAAAAATTCCAACTTGATTATTCCTCACGGGTGCTTAATGAAAGTAACATCGGTATCTTTCCAATGCCTGTGTCTGAACTGCAAACATTTTCCAGATGTTTTTCCACTTATACAGGGCAAAGAACAGGGCCTAAATTATTTTTCTTTTAATCAGAATGCTATAATCTGATTAAAAGAATGCTATAATCCCACATCCAATAAATTTATTTGTATGAACCTAAAAAGAACACTGAGGAAAACATTTACTATTCTTACATTTACAAGTGCTGAAAATCTCATGTATCTCTAAAGCAATCTCATTTGTCAAAAAGTATGACAGGAAATAGCCCTTAAAAAATGGAAAACATCTAGTCAGTATCATACAATTCCCATTTCTAAAACTGCAGTATGACAAAGCAAAAAAAAAAAAAAAAAAAGAATCCTAATATCCTCAAAGGAAACTCACATTTCTGAAACCTCTAAGGCACTAGTTCTGTATGCTTTGACAAACAGCTTCAAACTGCACATAGAAGGAAAGCTTGCAGTGAATGGTAACGCGGCAGACAAGGACAGAGTGCATATGCAACTGCTGGTGGGCAGAATGTCACATGGTGACCCTACACCAACCCAGTGCATCATTTAGGAAAACTTTATCCAAATCCCAATTGTCCACATTTACTGAGAAATTTAACAAAGACACATAAAAGATTCTATAATCCAATAGCTCACTTAAGCCAAGTTTTAGATTTAGTTTGCCAGGTGACGATTAAAAGTACAATGAGGTCATATTTTAAAGATCAAAAGGAATCTGGCTGTCACCATAATAAAAACTGTCACAAGCAAGAAAATCAGCAGTGGACACTAAAACAAACGGGGAAAACATGAGAAAGAGAACATTTACACAGTCTCAGATTATCTCCTAACTCCCCACAAGACACTTATTTATTCCAAAGGAAGAAACAATAACGTCACAGTGGAGAAATCTGGAGACACTACCTGAAGTAGTTAATCAAAGTAACACCATCAGGAAAGGGACAAAGAGACTGCATGAGTCTCTGGATCGCTGACACTGAGAAACACACATTACTCCCGGGATTTTCCTGCCAAAAATGCATAACCTAAAATTAATCATGAGGAAACAGTAGACAATCAAAATTGTAAGGGACATGCTACAATGTAACTGGCCTCTTCATATTAAGGTTCTGAGAAACAAAGAAAGACTGAGGAAACATTCCAGATTAAAAAAACTAAATAAACATGATGACAAAATGCAAAGTCATTGACCAGGAAAAAGAACTTTCTTTTGCTATAAATGGAATTAGTGGGACACCTGGCAAACTTAAATAAATTATGTCAAACTAGAAAACATGAAGGCAAATGTTGTAAAATGTATTTCCAGTATCTGAGGGAAAGGTAAATAGGAAATCTTTTTACAAATTTCTCAACTTTTTGAAAGTCTGAAATAATTGCAAAATATAAAGGGTGTTGTTGTTGTTGTTTTTTGTTTTAAGTAAAATGTGTTCAACTCAAAACTTCAGCATTACTAACTCTACTAAAAGGAGCATCGAACCTGCAGTAAAATAAATGCTTCTCTGTGAATTCCCCTTGTTTCAGATGGGGGTACTAATAAGCAGAAAAAGATAAAAAGATGGACAGTTGTGCATAGATCACACGGAGTCCACATTTTAACCCTAAAGACTAGGCTTTGCCTTACCTTTTCTTCCTTTAGCAAAGCAAACTCTGAGGAAACTGACTGACTTGGGGGATTCTGCTGGTCTGTCACTTGCTACTTGGAAGAGATCACACAATACGCAACTCTGGGATCTTCCAAAAGGAAGAATGGACAAGCAACGGCAATAGGACACCAGTCTGTTAAGTCCTGTGATCCTGAAGAGACCAGCGAAGAGAAAAATTCCATACCATTTCTAAGAACAATAGGGCAGCCATACTCTATGTCTCTGTTAGTTTTTCTTATGCGCCTGTCTTATGCTTTACTCGGAACTATCTCACAGACTCCAGAGCAGGCAGCATCTGACAGCAACTGGTAACACATTTCCAGAATTGTTAAAGGGATTCAAGAGACACTTGTTCAACATACGGCAGGACATGGAATACTTCATCATCACTAGTAATGCATTTAAGTATCAGTTCTCTAGAAGGTTCTGTTTCTGATCCAAATGAGGTAGATATTCAGACCAGACTTCCACCAGCTTCTGTATCCCTAGGGACTGGTTACTGCTGCCTTGTGTGCTTTTCAGTCCCTGAAAGCTCCCTTAAATCTTCAGCCACTCCTCACTATACTCCCCCATCCTTAGAGCCAGAAAGGTATCTATGCATTGGAGTCTCTTCCAACCCCACAGGCACTGCCCCTCCCCACCATTTCCTGACATTTTCATGGTCAACTCTCCAAAATTTGGAGATTAGATATACTACTGGTATAATTTTGCTATACTTTCAAGTACAATTACTTGAAAGTATATACTATACTTGGAAGTAACTATACTTCCAAGCTGGTCAAGAAACGAAGCCACTATTTCTAAAAGCCTTTCTATGGAAATAAAAGTTTCAAGTGCCAAAAGAGTCTACTTACTAACAAACAAAACAGATTATGTTTGTTGAATAGAATTTTAAAGATGATTTTCAGCACAGATCTCATCATAGGGAGAAGGACTCCTACTTTATTCATATTGAAGAAGCCACTGTAATAACAACTAACACTGAAATCCTACTGAGTTTGTGGCACCATTCAACACACTTTCAAATTCACTTTATTAAAAATGAGATACCTGTACCTTTCTATTCTAAAATAGATTAATAAAATGCTGTTATACACAATGAAAGCTATACTCAATGAATCAAAATATGGCTACCTTAGAGATGAAATAGAGTAATGGTTAAACTGCACGCACAAGAACTTATAAGATGGGAAGGGGAGAATTGTATCTTATAAGAAAAAAAAAACAGTGAAAATACTTTGTGATCTAGCACTTTCACTTCTGGGTACATACCCAAAAGAACTGAAAGCAGGCATTCAAACAGATATTTGTACACCAATATTCATAGCAGCATTTTCATAATGGTCAAAAGGTAGAAGTAACCCAAGTGTCCACTGAAAGATGAATACATCAGCAAAATGCAATGTAAACCCAGAATGTAAGAAGTACATACAACGGAGTATTATTCAGCCTTAAAAAGGAAAGGAATTCTGACACATGCTGCAACATGGAGTAAATCTGAGGATACTATGTTAAGTGAAATATGCCAGATGCAAATGGACAAATATTAAATAATTTCACTTATATGAGATACCCATAGCAGTCAAATTCATGGAGACAGAAGAGTGGCTGCCCAAGGCTGGGTGGAGGGGAGAATGGGTACAGAGTTTAATGGGTACAGAGTTTCAGTTCTGCAAGACAAAAAGCTTTGGAGGAAGATGGTGATGGTTGGATAACGATGTGAATGTACTTAATGCTACCGAACCGCACAGTTAAAAATGATTAAGATGGTATATTTTATGTTACGCACATTTTACAATTAAAAAATACCTTATATAAAATGTCAGCTTATTTTCTGAAAGGCCAAATAACTGCCATTTGTGTTATTTCTTGGCTATTTCCCTAAATTAAGTCCATGGCTTTATAATTTCCTTTACATTAGTCATTAATATATATTCTCTCTCACACACACACAAACACATTCACACACATTAAACACAGAAGTATTTAATGTGACAAATGATTTTAAAAGGTTTAAAGAAAAAAAGATAATTTCTGAATCCCCTTTCTGAACTTGTTTTTCCTTATGCCAAAATAAAAAATTCACAAGATACTTAAAGCCTGCAGTCAAAAAGAAAAAGACAAAACGAAAAATGCAAAAATCACAACATCCATCCATCCACAGTAGATATTTTTACATCAGATCTAACGATGAAAGAGTGCAACAGTACTTCCATAGAAATCACAAAGTTATCTCTGGTCTCAGTTTAGGATAAAAAGTCCGAATAGCGAGTGTGGCCAGTAATTTACCCAGATAACCCATGATGCTCTCTATGTAACAAAACACTATGGAGTAGTTTAAGTCTGAGGTGAAGGAGGGAAGGATCAAGGCACTAAAAAAGACTATGGTGGAGATTTTTTCCTAGAAAGGAAAAAAAGGAATTACAAAACAACAAAAATAATAAAAACACATGCCAATATGAGCTCTTTAATCTATACTGACATTAATTCTCAACTGGGGGAATTTGCCCACACCCCACCTCCAGGAGTATAAGTCAGAATCTTCTTGTGGTCTTCTGTACTTGGAAAAAGAATATCCAATATATCTATTAGTTTTATACTATAGAAAAAAAGAAAAAAGACTCAAAATTCTTTAGGGCTGAGGGGGGATGTGCTGAGCAAACAGTAAGAAAGCATTTTACCAAGGGTTAAGAAAAGTTTGAGGGATGTGACCTTAGAATACACAGTTGCCCTCAGAGTTCAAATGAGTTAAAGATGCAAATGGAAAAGAAAGCTAGCATTTTAATCATACATGAAACAAACCTCTCTGATCTAGGTAAAATCTAAGGTTCAGTATCAATCATGCATTATTTCTAGCAAGAGTTTTAGACCAGAATGATTTAAATGACAGAATGAGAGAGAAGAAAATGGACAAAAAGGAAAACCTTAGATGAAATATTTTAATGCTGAACTTATTAATGATCATAAAAAGAATACACATTCATTTTAGAAAATTTGAAAACAAAGAAAATGTGTAACCCATTTGACTCACCTCTCGAGTAGCTAGCTGGTTGCTAAGTTCCTCAGCCTTCTCAATATTCCACTCCTCCACAGCCTGGTCTATCCTCTTTTCAAGGCCTGACTACAAAGAAAAGAAACCTAAAATTAAGGGCAGGAAGAAAAGCAAACATTTGCTAGCCAAGACCATGTCACAGGGTTATACTGAATGTGTTACACATGTAGACCATTTAATTCTCACAGTAACACCAGAAGGTAGCTGCTACCATTCCCACTGGTACTGGCTGAAACAGTAAATGGCTTACCTGAGGTCATATAACTTCTTGAACTAATAAAAATAAGGTGCAAATCCAGACTTTTGTGAATCAAAGCCTATGCTTTCCCTTAATAACAACAATAATGTTGATGAAAACAATAGCTAAAAATTATGCAGCGTTTATTACGTGGCAGATTCTGGGCTTAGTACTGTAAGAAGGCTCATTTAATTCTTATAATAACACCATGAATAATAATGCTATCCTGTTTTAAAGGTGAGGAAACAGAGCCTGAGACTCCTGAACTTGGCCAAAGCCACAGTCTGTAAGCAGTAAAGCCATCACATGAATTCAGGTTTGCTCAGAGCCTGCATTCTCAACCACAAGTTTCTTCTGTCTCTTTTCTTACTGCCCATTCCTATAGCTCAAGACTTTCAATCAATAGCCTCCACAGTCTTTGACTATGACCGTTAGGCTGAATATTAAACAGCAGAGGAAAATTACACATAAGATTGATTTTATTTTCTTATGTATATGTTTCTATTTACTAAAGATACTTCAGGAAATTATAATTAATATTTTAATGGGATTACCAAACAGACTAGGGTAGAATGCATCACACATTTATAAAAAGATGCTTAGACTTAAATAACTGCAGTTCTAGCTTGTGAAAATAGTTACTACAGATAATAAAAAATTTAAAATATGGTCTAATATATGCTTCTTAGAAGCAAATTTTATCCCAACAATGTCTTATCTAGTCTCTTAACTTCCACATTCACTGTTAATACTCTACCTCTTACAGACTTTTCCTTATTTAATAACAGAAGTCCTAAGAATGTCTCTTCCATCAGCATATTGCTTGATTATGCCAGTCAACTGAGAGAATTCTGTTCCTGTGTAGCCTTTGTTGAGATGAGATGTAAAAAATAACAACATAATTTGCCTAAACAGATTACAGAAACAAAGACCAGTAAGGTCGTCACTGATGTCTGTTGCTAAGAGAAGATGATTCCTTCTCACAGACCCCACCTAAGTATTTAATACCTGCAAGGGCAACAGACTTTTCTGCTTGCTTTGCTGTTTAGCTGGAGACCATTCAACAGTGCCTCATAGTCTGACCTGAGGCCATAAGGATCTAATGCTCACCTCCCATTCTTGTCCTATGATCATCTACCAGTCTCCAGAAACATCTCTTTCTTCCATTTCTACAGAACTCCTCTCCTAATGGTCCAAACACCACCCTGGGACCTCTAACTTCATGCACTTCAGAAATCTATACTCTAGGCCAGTGCCGCTTCAGTCACGGCCTGTGGGCCAGGTCTGGTCTCTACACAGTGCCTACCCATGAACCGTTTATTTTGGTCCATGTAAAGATGAGGAGCTTGTGCCAGAATACAAATCAGCTTCATGACTAAACACAGTTTTGTAGTGGCCGGGAGTGCTGATACACACCTTTAGTCCCAGAGCTACTAGGGATGCTGACAGAAGAGGATTGTCTGAGCCCAGGAGTTTGAGGCTGCAGTGGGCTATAATCACACCACTGCAGTTTAACCTGGGTGACAGAGCAAGACCCTGTCTCTTAAAAACAACAACAAAACAGTTTGTCTAGATGGCTTTTGCTGGGGGTGGTGGAGGACTAGAATTTCTCCATGAGGAAAGTAGTACACTGAGTTACATTCAGGCACACATTCCTTATCTCTTTGTCTATCAGTGCACTTGGAGTAAGATTGCTGTATGTCATGTTATAGACACTGCCCGAAAGTTCCACCTCCAAAACTTCATAATCTAGAATTCTACTCCCTGAATATAATTCTTCCACTCACCCTAAGTCTTTTTACCTAATGCATCTGCTTTGCCTTTACTGGAACCTCATTCCCTGGCACAGTCCTTCAGTCCCTTCTTAGATCCTCCTCTTCTTCCTCTCTAACTTGCAACCCACAATTACCATTATCAACTAAACTCTAAGCCAGTGGTTCTCAAAGTTTAAGTGCTGAACTAGCAGTATCAACATTACCTGGAAACTTCTTGGAAATGCAAATGCAATTTCTGTGAAAAACTCTGGACTAGGGGCCCAGCAATCCATATGATTCTGATGCATGCTAAAATATATGTCAACTGTGTCTTTTTTTTTGGGTGACAGAGTCTCATTCTGTCACTAGGCTGGAGCGCAGTGGCGCAATCTCAGCTCACTGCAACCTCTGCCTCCTGGGTTCAAGTGAATCCCCTACCTCAGCCTCCCAAGTAGTTGGGACTACAGGCGTATGCCACCACGCCCAGCTAATTTTTTGTATTTTAGTAGAGACGGGGTTTCACCATGCTAGCCAGGATGGTCTCAATCTCCTGACCTCATGATATGCCTGCCTCAGCCTCTCAAAGTGCTGGGATTACAGGCATGAGCCACCACAGTCGGCCATGTCCTCCTTCTCAAAACTACCCACTATCTCCTCTGGTTGTCCCTTAATCACAGTGTTCCTCAAGTTTCTGACTAGCATATTTTTCGTCTTACTTTTCACCTTCCCCAGTAATCTACTCTGTCCTGGAGCTTCAATTACTTTTTATGAGCTGGTTGCGCTCTCTAAATAATTAAAAACCCCTGACTTCCCCCGTACTAATATCTGCATCTCCAGCTACTTGCTAATCATCTTCACACTGAAGGCCTGAAAAGGCAAGGTCTGTAACAAGCCCAATACTTGCTGTCCCACTTCTCCTCCTCCGTAGTCACCCTTGATAGAATCCTGAGTTATCTTCAATGCTTCCAACCCCTTGCTCCTATCTGAACTCTATTTTGGCAAAGGTCTCTCATTTCTTCATTCTGTGCTTCTTCAGGGGCATGCAATCCCTTATTTGGAATATTATAACAATCTCCAAACTAGTCTTCTCTTTCTGAAACAGATATCATTACCCAGCTTAAAGCATTACTTCATATTCCCTTTGAATAACACCCCACTCCCTTCACAAAGGGGTCCCCAAATGCTTTCTCAGCCCCATCTTCAGCAATGCTATGCTTTTTAATCTCTGGCCACATTTACCATTTTCTTAATGTTCCCTGTGCCTCTGATGTGCTTCTCTTGGAAAAATATTAATCATTCCTTTAGGCTCACGTCGAATGTTACCTTCCCTATCTATGTAGCGCTCCTCAGCCCTACATTCCTATGACCCCATCACCCTCCCCAAACCCCACACAAGGCTCTCCACACTGTACTGTTGCTGTACCTTGTGTCCCTTCAGCATTTAACTTGTCTGACACACTACAGCAAGTTGTGTATTCTCCCCTCTTGGGTCCTATACTCAGTGGGAGCAGGCTGTGTGTCACTGGTTTGGTGTGTCCCAGAATCCAGCCCAGTTCCTTCTACATAGAAGACATTAATTCAGTCTGTGCTACTGAGCCGATGTTCACACTGCAGTCATCCATGTTTGCATTCATACTAAAAGGACCCCACTCAAACTGGGAACATTTATTACAACCAACTACTCTGAGAAGCTTCCAAGAGAATTCACAACAGTAATACTGAAGTAATAATGCCCCTATGGTTAAAAAAAGGTACATGTATTGTACTCATTTATATATGCATCTATCCTGGTACTAGAATATATACATTCCTCAAGGGCACGGGGAGTATCTTCTCCATCCTGGGCTCACAGAGCTTAAAATAGTACCTGCACCTAGAACTTTACTATTTAATTTATATTGAAAATAGTTATTTTATTTAAAAAATGTAAATACAACAGTCTCACTTTCCTGTGCAGAATATTAGGCATTGCCTCAAATGTCACTGACGCATATTTGTATGTGTCAAAATGTATTTGTACAAAACATTAATATCAAACTACAAGTTTCCTTGCACTACAAATTCTTGCATAGCCTGACCTCAACTCAGAACTTATCCAATCTCATGCAAGGAAGCAATCAACCTAGACCCGCTCCAACCTTTCATCTCAGCAACCTGCTCACTAACAGCTTCCATTCTTAAGCCTTTCCATTCCCCCAGCCATTCAGAGCAGAATCTAAAGGTAATAGCATATTACAATGGAAAGAGCACAGGACTAGAAGACAGGAGATATGGTCAAAGCTCTGGGTAAATGACATACTTGACTCATAAGCCTCTGTTTCCTCAAAGGTAATGAAAAGACTGGCTTGAATGAGTAACCCTTCTATAAATAAAAATTCTAGATTTCTATCACATTTTCAACTTTGTTTTTAGCCCTTTTATCTCTCTTTCTGGCAATTTATTTAAATAAAATGTAATAGCTTCTTTTAGTTCTGAAAAACTCCTGGTTCCATGTACAAACTTTGTTTCCATAAGAACATATTAATATTCCAAATACACTCAAAACACTTAGTAAAACATTCCCATCTCCTTAAAGACTGTAAGTTCATAGCAGTTCACAAAGAGCACAGCTGGCAGGGTCAGACCTAGGTTCAGACTAGCTCCTATACTTATGAATTAAGCAACCCTGAATGAGTTTCTAAACCTCTGTGGGTTGCAGTTATCTCACATGCAATAAAATGAGAATAAAACCACATTCTCTGCAAGATTATGATGAGTCAAAGAACATATATATAAAATACCTAGCCACATTTTTAGAATATAGCAGTCATTCAATAAATAATAAGCTGCTCCTATTATTAAACCTAAATATCAGGATACCATTATCGCAAAAGAGAAGGCTCATCTCTATAAGGCTACAGACTGTATCATACTTCAAGCTCAGACCCAAGTACAAGACTCAAGCATTCAACTTTGTCAGTAAATAGTCTCATGAACTAGAGTCTGAGTATTAAGGCTTTTTGAAAAGTTTTAAGCTAGACTCAAGAGTAGCCTTTATTTGACTTATCTAGGATGTCTTCCATACTACAGGAGTGGCAGGAGGCACAGAGGAGCTATTGATAGCCTGCAGCGCCTTGGTGTGCTTCTAAGTTGCCTTTTGGTTAGAATCAAAACATAATTTAAGATATATCTCAACACAAACCTAGGAATGGCAATTTGGCCACAGGTGAAAAATTCATCTAAACGAAGTATCTAACCCACAAGGCAACAATTGCCAATTAATAAAGTTTTACCATAAATGTCAAGAAGATAGGACTACAAATATCTAAGAAATGTGTGGGTACTTGGTTTAACGTTGTGGGCTAACATCTATATGTGCATATGTAGAATAACTTTTTATATATGGTTAAAGCTTTTAAAGTCAAACTATACCACAATATATTTATATGAAAATTCTGCTACTAAATATTTATTCGGTTAATATATTCAATTTTTAAAGCTTAACACAAATGAATTATCCATTGAAGTTTGCATTACTGAACCTAAATATCTAAGAAAAAATAAGGCAATCTCTTCATAAAGAAGGGCAGTGGGGGAGAGGGGAAGAGGTACTTTCATACGTAAATGTAAATCATGTATTTATTTATAATTTTGTTAACTTTATATATATATATAAAATCATACCTACTTAAAATCACTTGAGTCAGCTGGGTGCGATGGCTCATGACTATAATCCCAGCACTTTGGGAGGCCAAGGCAGGAGGATCACGAGGTCACGAGTTCAAGACCAGCGTGGCCAATATGGCGAATCCCCATCTCTACTAAAAATACAAAAATTAGCTGGGTGTGGTGGCGTACACCTGTAGTCCCAGCTACAGGAGGCTGAGGTAGGAGAATCCTTTAAACCCGCGAAGAGGAGGATGCAGTGAGCTGAGATCGCACCACTGCATTCCAGCCCAGGCAACAGAACAAGACTCTGTCTCAAAAAAAAAAAAAAAAAAAAAAATCATATGAGTCAGGTAAATAAAAACCCCATTCAGAAAAAGCTAGATTTGGGACCAAATGACTTGGGTTTAAAGTCTCATTTCACTTCTTACCTGGTTTGTTTTCTTAGGCAAATTATGCTGAGCTTCGGTTTCTTTATCCGTATGAGAATAACACTGGACCTATCAACCCACCCCACAGGAATCACATAGGAACCAAGAGGCAATGGTTTGTAACTGATACCAGGAGATCTTCATGGTACCACCTCAACACTCCCCATACCTCTCTCATCACACCCCTAAACCTCCCTCTCCTATACCTCCTCCCTCCACCCACCCAAGGAAGCCAGATTTTTAACTGATCTATGTATTGGAGAACCATGTTAAGAGTCTGTTTGGAAAAAGCACTCTGCTTAAAAAAAAAAAAAAAAAAAAAGTTCGAAAAAGCTACACTATACAATAGCAGTTTCCTCTCATAAAAAACTTGAAAAATTCATCAAAGACATTGTACAATTACTCTAACATTTAATAAAGTAACTCTGGTTTTTCATGCCAAAAAGTATCCATTAGGTATACATAAAACTACTTCAATAATGACTGCTGACTAATCAAACTGATTCAACTAAAGAATACTTGAGACATTTATAGTGAAATTAATGAGTGAAATTTATTCTAAAGAAATTCCCACAGATTCAAAATAATTATGCTATGATTACAGAATTACTAGTAAGTCCCAGAACTGCTGCCAGAAACACAATTATAGCTGTATTTAATACAAAGAACACTTTAAAACAGCTTTGGATATTAGGGAGATTATGTTTAAAAAATACAAGCCTCTGCATTGTCTGAGAGGCAGGTGACAGCAGTGCTGTAAACAGACATTCTTGGTTGAGCAAGTTTCAGTTTGGCAGTGTTCCAAAAAAGAAAAACGGGGAGAAAAAAAAGACTGCACGATAGACACAGATTAAGAAGTTTGTTTTGTTTTACCATTCTAGAGGGTTGAGTAAATACAAAATAAAAAGGTTCTCTCAGATATGGTAACAGATCAGCTCTCTGCTCCAGAGAAATAAAATAGTGGATGGAAATTCATGCTAGTTTTGTTCTAACTGCATCACAGATTTTCATGATCATCTCTAGATTTCATAAGCAGTCGCTACTATGTGCTGGATTTACATTTATTTAATTTTTATCTCAGCATCTCCAATGTGGACATTCTTTAAAGTTTATTTACTCTGTTGGATTTGCAGTAGAAACTTTAGCAGGACAGCCAAAGGAGTGCCATTTAAACCAACGATCCCAAACCAAAGAATGAGTGGGAACCTGCTGGCATGCAATTATACTGAACCACCAAGAGAATATGAAAGAATCTGGCTTCACTAAGTCCTTCCTTTCCTCTTATGCTTGGGTTTATTTGTGGAATATTAAATGCGGGGAAAATCCTAGACAGATAGAAGCCTGGTTAGCTCAGGCTCCTTGTTTAGAAAACCACCATAACTTCCTTAGCTAGATGTAATTTATGTGGACGAGTAGCAACTGTTAAGATGAATATCATCACAAGGATGAATATCTAAAGTTAAGAAAACCCAAACGTATAAAACAGATCAATGGGCAGTTACAAAAGGACTTATAGCAGTCTCCCTTACACAGAGACCTCACTTTCACAATAGTGTTTGGGTTATAATTTCCTTCCAGAACACATTTAATGCATAATGTGAAATAGAACATTGGTTCCTAAAATTGAGTTGTTTAATTTTGTGCAAAGAATCCTAGTAACCTGTATTAAAGCAACTCCATACAAATTCCAAATCCTAGACAATGAATAAGAGTAAGCCTGGCATCTAGCCAGTATCAAGAAGGTACAATTTATATGTAGGATAATAAAATTTTAATAAAGATAGACTGTAAAAAAAAATCATGTCTAAGTTTCTACTTTTTAGAGTAGCTAGGAAGTTCATTTCATGGCTTTAACTTCACTAAGAAGCAATTTAGACATTCTAATGTCAATATAGTTATGAGAAAACCTAACAAACATGGTAAACAAATGAAACTCAAAGACCATCTAATTCACAAGTAAAATTTAAAAAAATATTTCCTAATAGAACCAATATTTGACCATTCCTTCCCTCAAAAGAACAATTCATCCAGCAGCTGGAACTCTACGGCAGGTCTGCCAGAGATAACACCCGGACCCGGGCTACCAGCATGGTCCTCCTCCCTAATGCCTTAGAACACATTTGGTACAGTCAAGAGCATCTCCCGTCACACAGCCACTGTTCGGCCCACCAGCATCACAAGAGAATGGCAATTACACTTGCAAACAGTTATCACCCCTTCTGCATTGAGCCTAGGAAACTGAGACTGCTGTCATGAAACCTGGTTTTTAGTTTCAACTGTACCAGTGATTTTTCTTTGCAAGAAATTTAGCATTTCTGCACCTGCTTGAACATTTGTAAAAATGAGATTGCTCAGGAGCAATAATTAGTTGAGGCAGAAAGAGATTCTGGTTCCAATTCCCCAATGTTCCAGGGACTGTTTTTGGATGATAAGAAACTTTTGCAAAGTTGGAATCAAAAAATTCACAGTAAAATTCTGTTTTGACAGTTCCTTAATGTGTGCACCCTCAATGACACAGTACCATGCAATGATGGATTTAAAATCAGAGGTACTTTGGAAGAAATACAGATGGATCAGAAAGTGACAAAGGTCTCTAGGTACACACACTAGTCTACAGCAATGATCCATGAAAGAGGCATCTGTCTATTACACACAGGATACAATATACTTGGGCTTCAACTAGCCCCCTGTGCCTCCAGCTCTAGCACTCAGCACTTGATTTTCATGCTCCAACATTTCCCTGTGTGAATAAGTGAGTTACTCATTCACACAAGCCTCTACTAAGTATTAGTATGTCTAGAGACTGACAACTACAAATGTGCATCTAAAGGTCAGGCTCTCCTCTGAGCCCCTACCCTCATTATACTAACCATCTACTCTGCTCCTGCTTTCCAATAACACTCAAGTCCCAAGATGAACTTTGGCTAAGTCCCACTCTCAATCCTTTCCCCTCCCCAAATTTCTCTTTGTAACATCACTATTCACACCACTGCTTAAGCTAAAGCTTTGAATGGTCCTCTTTCCTTCCACATACCTCAAACCCTCCCTATCACCTCGCAAGCAATCCAGAGGCAAGTATCATCAATTTTACTTATACAATATGCCTCAAATCCATCCACTTTTTTCCTTCTTCAGCAGAACCATTCTGGCTCAATCCATCATCATTTTATGCCTAGAAGTCTCTTAACTGTTCTGTTCTCATCTGTTTTTGCTGCCTCACAATCAGTTCACCAGGTAACAGTCATACGAATCTTTTTAACATAGGTCATGTCATTCCCTTGACTTAAAAGCCTTTATGACTGTCAACTGCATTGTGAATAAAACCCATTTTTTTACTAAGCCCTTTGAGGTCCTACACAATTTGGTCAGTGACTGCCTGCCTCTATAATCATATAGTGGGCTACCCTCCTCCTCACTGATCCCATTCCAGACAGGCTGGCCTTCCTACGATTACTGGAATGTCCCAGGACGACTCTTCTCTAGGATCTTTACCCATGCCTCTGTGCTAGCATTCTTTATATAAACAGTTTTTTCCATCCTTCAGGTCTCAGTGACATGGCACCTTCTATGAAAGGCTTTCCCTGACCATCCATGCTAAAGTACAGCCCCCATTTTAATGTTTTCACAACAGCCCGTTCTTTCTCTTAGCAGTTTTTTAATAATTTGTAACTATTTACTTATCTAGCACCTTTTCTGGTGCGTAGTAGGCATCTTAACTTTTTAACTGAATGAATTAATGAGAACAAGTACTTTAGTCAAGGCTAATCACAAACGTATCCTCCTAGCTGGTATAAGATGCAATAACAAGGATATTACCTTCTCAACTTTTTTCCTTTTAACAGGTGGGTCAAATCTATCATTGACTCCAAAATACTGAGTAAGCTCCTTCCATTGGGTTTCATTTGAGGATGTTTCACTAAAAGAAGATAGTAAGTTTTGTTTTATACAATATATACTGTCTTTACTTTTACTGTTTTTAATTGGTTACTACAATTATACTACAATTACTAGTTCATATATGTTTGATTACGATCAGAAACAATTAGTTCAACAATTTCTACAATGGCCTAAAATATATAACTATTTTAAATTCCACCTACCTATGAGATTCTTTTTCATTCTTCGATTTATCTGAAAAGAATTCACAGTGTCAATACCTAACTTCACTAATTTCAAAATCATATTTTAAAAAAATGGTTAAATTCAGTCACAATTTAGCATTAGCACGACTAACAACCTGAATTAAAACAAAACACCTTTTCTGGAGCGTTTTCTTTTTTTCCCTCTGAATCTTGAGGTTGTGCTTTTCTGTTCAGTATGTTTTTTATGCAATTCTTGAAATTTCTATGTAAAAGAAAAAAATATTGAGAAGCAAATACACTTTCCAGAAAAACATGCATTTAAAAAATAATGAAGTAATAAAACAATTATATTTCAGCATGTATAAAGATACCAATTTAATGATGGTAGTCAGTTCTTGAGAAGCTCTATTCTCTGAGACTCACAACCTGAGTTTTGATATTCACTTGTTTTGAAATAAGTCATTTCATAATTTGAGAGTGAAGCTCATGTAGATAACAAAAAAGATAAATAAAAGATAAAATAAAGACAGAAACTCTTCATGTACCACGCTAGGCAAACAGCTAATCCTGCATAGTGGTTTGGGGTTTTTTTTCTTTGTCTTTCTATGAAAAACAAAACAAAATAAAAGCAAGTATCTAAGTGGCCAATGCCTCAGAGAATAGTAAAAGCATTCTGAGTCCATCTCCCTCCCTGTTAAGTCCCAAGAACACATGCACATTCTGACCAGGGCAGAGACACAATCAGGGGTGTGTACACGCACAGGCTGTAGCAAGAGCATTTCAGAGAAAACCTACATTCCACATATCTACGGGAATTCCAGAAGGACACTCTTCATAGGCATTTACATTTGACTCTGTTTCAGTTTGTGGTTCATCTGTTGAGAAATCTATGATTTCTGTTTTTCTGATGCTCTCATCCTCTTTATCTTCCTGTAAGTTAAGTCCAGAGTTCTCCAACGTAGCTTCATCTTCAGAGTTTGACTCAGCATCACTTTCATTTAGGCCAGGAGGTAGCAGCCCACTCCACATCTTTTCTTCTATGAGGAAAAAGATTAATTTACACATGTAGAATAGCCATAGAAATAATTTTAAGACCATTAGAAGACATTCCAGGTGCCTAATAATTGTAACAATGGTTTGGGAACAGTCCATCTAAACTTTTTTTTTTTCCCCCATCTAAAATGGTATAGAATGAACTCATATTAAAATAATTAAAATCTTCACTTGTGTAAGTAAAAAAAAAAAGTTTAGAAGTTTAAAAGCTGTTTAAACAAGTTTGTTACAACACACACCTACGGGCAAAGAAAATAGAGCTTTAATTCTCTAATATATGAGTAGCTTTGTCTAAAAAAACATGAAATTCAGTAATGCACTGCTCAAGAATGTTAAAAACCTAACAACATACTTTGCAAGCAATTTAGGATTAAAATACCATATTTGAAGCTATACCAATTAGAGAATAAAACTGCGTGTTTCACCTATATTTAATGGACCAAGCTTCCAGAGGGCGTATTGTCTAAGGAGCAGGAAAGCAACTAAAGGAAAATTTTTAAGCTATGTAAGTAGCTGGAGGAAGGTATGGTAGTAAAACAGATATCCTACTTTTTAGTTTAATATTGTTTGCTAAAATAATATTAAATGAAATATAATCCTAACAATTTAACAAAAATGTACAGCTTTTTAAAGTAACAATACTATATTTGGGAAACTAATGGTAAAGTTCAAGATATTACTTAGCATTAGCTATACAGTCCATTGGTAGAGAGAACCATTAAGTTTAATAAAACGTGTTAAAATAGCAAAATTGTTATCATTTGCTAAAAGTATAATACTCAAGTACATATTCACTATTGATCTCCATGGCACAGTCTATTTTAGCACATATATTGAGTCAAAACCAGTTCCTTCAAAAGATGCTTAAAATAAAGAAGCCGGTTGTACTGCTCATGATTTACTATCAACCTGAAGGAATAAAATGGAAGGACGGAAATCTGTTTTGCAGTTTTCTGTCCCATATTGTGATTAACCTAGTTAAAAAACAAACAAACAAAAAAAACCACCACCATTCTCTCTGAGACAAACACATCAGGGATTTTGCGATAACAGATTTATGTTATCTTTTCAAGACTTCCTTCCAGGTCCGAAGAATCAGATCTTACTTTTTGTGGCTTTGGTCCAGTCTCATCAGTTGCTGGCTCTCTGAAATATCCTCACCAAATATTCTGTTGGCTTTTTATGAGGAAGGACTCTGGCATCTAACTGCTCCAAATAGAATCTTGACTCTGCCACTACTAGTAGTATGAGGAAATCATTTAACATCTCTGACCCTCGATTTCTTTATCTGTAATGCAGGGATAATTATACTGCTTATAGGGTTATTCTGAGGATTAAATGAGATAAGCCCCTCAACATAGTGTTTAGGAGGTCCTAGGGGCTCAATAAATGTTAAGTTCTCTTTGCTATTATTATTTCTATGGCCATGTATTACATTTTTATCATTTCTATTATGAGTGACTGGGTTCGTAAGATAGTTTTGAAGTTTCTGATAATTGTGGTGCACTCACTTAGCAATTGATGCCATCATTTCCTTCCTTGATAGTCACAATCTGAGATGAAGTGTCTATAACAAATATTAATGTTTAGTTTTCTGAATGGAGCAATAAAATGAGGGCAAATTACCAGGAAGATAATGGTAACCTAAGCTCCAAGATTCCTCATTTGCACAGGTCTTTCCAAAGTACTGTACTTTCAGAATTTGCATTTCTTTTTTTAAAGGAAGAGACCCCAAGTTATATGAGCTCCAGGCCCCATAAAACCCAGATCTATCCCTAAACCTGTCTGTGGATTTTTAAAGTTGAGACAGAAGTACTCTTGAGATACTCTGAGAGCACAAAAGACATCATGTAAAATATGACAATATTGAAAAATAGGTATCATGCTATTAACGAAAAAGATTTCTCCTGTTCTGAGAGCAAGGGGAAGGAAGAAGTAATAAGTTCCAGTATGATTTGGCCACCGGCATATAATATACCTTTAGGCTCATTATCATTTAAGGACTTAAAACAGTAACAAATTCCAGGTTTGGATTTCTTAGCATCACTGGAGTCTATGTTAGAAGTAAGTGTTTCCCTTCCTGTCCATAAAATATTTTACATGCCCATCTGTGTGCCAGACACTCTTCAAGACTCTGGGGACAGAAGTATATAAACAGGCAAAAATCCCTAGCCTCATGAAATGACATCTACACACATGGCAAGTTTCTGTTCAATTTTTGAGCCAAGTATTCCTTGACCTGGACTTCAGATGTGACTGCTTATGAAATGCGTGTGCCTCTCCAGTGGGCAATGGCACAGGTCTCCCACCAAACCACTGTTTTAGCATCTCTGCAGGGTGATAGTCTATGCTCTGGGCACCCAAACATACCTCCCTCTGGGGAACAGTCTCAGTTGCCCTGAAGAAGGCAAGATTTTTGCTGTTGTTGTTGCTAATCAGCCTTCAAGTAGGCATTTTTTATGGCTTTTTAAATTTTCTCAAAATTATATATTTTTAGCTCCCGCTGATGTGGCATCTGCCTGGTATGGTAATTTCTTGAGTGTACCCAAAGGAAAAAAAAATTAAAATAGCTTGAAAAAAGTGGAATCCACCTCTAAATCCAGGCAAAATCCAAATCAGGTAGGTTGTGGACTCCACTCTTGAAAACCTTTAAAGTCATGTGCCATTTTCCCATGACTCTCAAAAAACCAAACACAAGGGAGACTGAGCAGTCACTGATAAACATGGATAACTGCTGCCACTCACTGTGCAGCCTGCAAAATGGAGTTGCCTGTGTAAGCAGCAGCCCAATTACAGATCAGCCAATATGGAGTGGCTGCTTAGTGACTTTTGCTTTGGACTCATGTTTGAAAATAGTCTTTCTATTCATAGCATATAGTTGTCATTCACAAAGTTTCCAACTGGCACCATGTTAGGCCTCCTGTTATTCCTCTTTTGGCTGCTGTGGAGGATGATTATCTGTGTCTCTTACTCATGTCTTTCAGAGTGTATTTCTTTATTTTAAAGCAGATAATCCCAAGTTACCCTTTAACTGTGAAAATTCACTCAGCCAGTCTCAAGAGACGTGGAATATCAGAGAAACAGAAACTTAAATCTTTTTACTATAGATTATAGCCAAGTCCATGTAGCAGCCAACGTATTAATTCATAAGCTTTCGTTTTTTTTACCCTGCAACCCAAATAATTTTCAATTTAATCATTTTCGCCCCAAGGAAAATGTAAATGACTCAGAATCCTTTTTCTCTCTATGGTTTTGAATATCACCTTCTTCATTTTACACACCCTCCACCTCTAGAGTTAAGATTTATTCCATCCCACAATTATCCTCAAAGACCTTCTGTGTGTACTATGCAGAACACATCTTTAGTCCTCGGCTAACACAATTTGCCACGAACTGAAAATATTTATATACTGTCCTAGTCTGAATAACTAGGGTTTTTTTGTCTGTCTGTTTGCCCTTGAAAACCACCCATCGTCATTAGTTATCATATTTGGTCAGATAACAATGACTCAAAAACAGGGTACAGTTCAGTAGTTCCTAATCTAAGTATGAATATAGTAACAGGAGTCTCTAAGCTAATTTCAAAAAGCCCAAACTATTTTATTTTTCCCCTCAGTGAGACAGTACCATTCACCATTACAGGAAAAGACAAATTTAGCGAAGCACTATTCTTCACCACATGATAATCAGAGGTTCAATGGTAGTTATAGGCCTGACTTTTATCAGAAAAAAACATTCATAAACAAGGTTTAGTAGACACAATCTTTCAAAATATAGCAGCCAGGGAGAAATCAAATTACAATAAAAACTGTTCTAGACTGTGCACTCATTACAGGGGAAAAGAGTTTTTAAAGTTGGAAGATGGTTTCTAGTCCTGAGCAACATAATTAAAAGTCACTGCATTTGTCTGGGCCTCCATTCTTAAGCTATAAAATAAAGGTTTGATCAAATGATCTTTGAGATGTCTTACAGCTCTAAAGTGTCTCTTTAAGATTTTGATATTATAAGTGCCCCAAATGCCCAGAGTCATCTCACTCCTGGATGTAGCACTCCATTCTCTCCAGGACTGCAATCCTGATTAGAGCCCAGTATCCCAGTAGATAAGGTTTCTCTCCTCTACCTAGCAACTCAGCCAAGAGAATGTTTTCGGAGAGATGCTGTACACTTCAGGACACTGAGAAGGGGAAGGAACCCTAGTTACAACAGGAAACACAAGAACCAGAAAGGGGAAACAAAGCAAGTCACTGCTACACATGGCATACAAACAGTGTGGCAGGCCTTGGTTTACCATTAATCTTCACAACAAACCTTCCACTAGGAATTACTATCTATATCTGCCCCCTCCCCTGCCCGCTCCGCCCTCAATTTACAGATAGGATAACTGACTTGCCTAATGAATTCTGATCCACTTGTTTTACAAAAATAGCCCCATGGCTTTAGATTATGAACTTTTACAGGGCAGAGTTGTAAGCGGAGACAAGGATTTGAGACTCGGTCTGAGAACGATCTTAGCCTATAATTACAGACTTGTTAAATTTGGTTAAGAATTCTTTTTCTGTACTTTTTGAGTACAGAAAGCTATGTAAGATGCTATACTAAGTTACATACATCAAAGTCAAAGTCACAGTCAGAGGTTTGAGTAATAATGTCATATTTTCTGGACAACCAGGCAGCTGCTTATAACCAAAACTCAAAAGATATTATTTGAGCAGCTCGATGGGTAAATGTTTTCTGTCTCTATTCCAGAATTTAAATTCCATTTTCATTGTATAAGGCTTATTTCCCATATTTTGTATTTGATTAGAAGTAATCCCAGAAGCCTGAACTTCATCTGATCTAAAATTAATTTCACTTATATACTAATTATAAGCCACCACATTTAACAATCTGAAGATTGTAATTTACATCATAATCAGTGTCGGTGACTTAAAAATGGTTACTATTTTCAAGCATGTTAACATCAACATTAACGTAAATATCCTATTTACTTTTATGAAATGAATGTGCTCCTTTTCTCAAAAAAGGTACAGAAAGGACAACTGAATTACAGGCCTGAAAGCGAATTTAGGTTGACAATCGGCCAATCCAGAAAACCTACTTATTTAGCAAGATTTTGCATGTATGCAACTGTTTTAATTAAAGAGAGTGTTCGTTTACTTGGCCTGAAAAACATTTTCCCAGACCCAAGATCCTGCATGGAAAGACAATAAACCAAGTTAACAGTTCAAGGCTCATTTTAAGTCGATTCCGCTGTGAGAATACTTACAAGGTCCAAGATGGCAAGAGGATGGGTCTAGTAAGGTACACCTGTTCCTGCTTGGCTGCACAACCGGGAATTCTGCAGGCTTTCTGGCGGCAATGCCCCACTCCAATCCCAAAACAGGCAGAATCCCCTCTCGGGCACAGAACTAAGCGCTGCAGTTTCCGGCGAAGGATGTCTAGCCTGCTGGCAGTCCCATTAACTGGAGCTGTTTTCCGGGATACAGCAACTGTAAACATGAGCCTGTTTCCCCTATCGAAAGCCTCCTCAATCCCCTCTCACTTTGACTGGAGTGGGACGGAGAAACCCTCCCTCATAACAGGCTGGGGAGGCCGCTGCGACGCCCCTTCCGAGGAAGGCTGAGGATGGCCCCGCCGTCGCTTCCGCGGCCCCGGGCCGGGGGCTTTTCTAGCCTGCTCCGGGAGGCTCGGCCGAGGAGCTATGAGGCCGCCCATACCGCCCCCCTCGGCTGCCGGCAAGAGGCCTTCCCAACTCATCATGCCGGAGCCCGAGCCGGCGGGTAACCAACCCTCCATAAGCCGTACTCACCTGTCAGGAAAGGGTCGCCCGGCAGCCATCTTAAGACCCCGTCAACATCGCGCCTTCTCATTGGCTCCTGCGTCTCAGCCAATGGGCTGGGGCCGTTCTGGCCCTAGGGTCGCCTTGGCAACCGGCCTCGTGGGGCGTGCCTTTTTAGTCCGTGCGAAGGAGGTGGTTCCTTGCTTTTTTTTCTCTCTTTTCTCTTGCCGTTTTTTCTTTCTTCTGAACATTTTTAAAGACTTTGTCCTTTCTTCATTCTCTGCTGTCGGCCAATGCGTCTGGGCGAGGAAAGGGCTGACATAGATAGACCTTGAACTAAGAGTTGATGCCACCAGGAGGGAGAATGTTGCAGTGCTTTCTTTCTAGGCCCTTCTGCAAACGTCTTCATTCATTTCATCCATTCCCCTCCCTCTCTTCCTTTTTTTATTTTTGTTTTGGTTTTTTTTTTTTCTTTCTTCGCCTATTTATTGGGCGTCTACTTTGTACCAGGCATCATGCCAATCTCTGGTTAGCAGAAAACGGGCAGACTCCTGCTCTCATGGCGCTTACCATCTGGTGATGGCGCTGACTGGACCAAAAGTTTACCGAACTTCTTTTTTCTTTTTTGTGGCAGGCGCTGTGTTATGCCCTGAAGGGAGTACTTGGAGAACATAGAAAATGAGGAAACAAACAAAAAACAAAAACAAAAACGAGAAAACCACTGTGAAGAAGATAAAGTATCCTATGTGATAGGGATGGGAATAGTGCTATTTTAGAAATATTTGCATTTTCCGAAATCTGTTTTATAATAAGAATAACATTAAGTGTACCTATTTGCTAATTTTGTGATGATTATATAAGAAAAGCCTGGGCGACAGAACCAGACGCTGTTTCAAAAAAGAAAGAAGAAAGAAAGAAAGAAAGAAAATACAGTAGGCTTCTCTCATCTGTGGCTTCTCTTAGCCTGATTCCAGTTACCTGGAGTCAACCAAGGTCCAAACACATTAAGTAAAAAATTCCAGAAATAAGCAATTCAAATGTTTAATTGCAATCCCATTCTGGGTATCCTGATGAAATATCCTGCAGTGTGAATCATTGCTTTGTCTAGTATATATGCATGCTGTTATGCCACCAGGTTCTTAGTCACTTAGTAGCCATCTTGGTTATCAGATTGAAAAACCGTATATGGGGTTCGCCATTATTCCAGGATTCAGGCATCTCCTGGGGGGTCTTGGAAGGTATTCTCTGTGGATAAGGGAGATTACTGTACACATAAAGACTTTAACATATTACCTGGCCCACACTAATTTTCAATCTCAGCTGTTTTTTGCTGTTAACATAATAATGTCTTCCTTCAAAGAAAGCTGAATGTGTATAAAATTTTGCATTGCACTCAGTAATATATCTCAATTTCGCATCAACGGATGGTTAAGCCTATTACTTAACTATCCACTACACCACCTCACTGCCAACATCTTCCAGAAGATGCACCAAGTTTAGAGATCAGTTTTATATAACCCCAGCATCATAGTAAAACCTGAATCAACAAGTTAGGATCACTGAAGTCCATCTTCCTGTTCACATTCTCTGATTCTAAAGTAGAAGCAAGGCTGAATGAGTTAAGGATCTGTATAAAACTCTTTTGGCCGAATCTCTTCAGCTTCTCAATAGGATTTTCCTTGAATCCAAATCTTTAAAAAGTTAAACAGTTAACAAAAAGGTGTGCCTAAGAGTGCTGTTGTAACTGCATCAGGCCTCTTAATTGCTCTTCATCTGCTCGGGCTGTCATAGCAAAATACTACAGACAAGGTAGCTGAGGCAACAGGAATTTATTTCTCACAATTCTAGATGCTGGGAAGTCCAAGATCAAGATGCCATCAAAGTAGGTTTTGTTGTGTTTGTTTTGTTTTGTTTTGTTTGAGGCCTCTTCTCTTGCCTGGTAGGCAGCCACCCTCACCCTGTTACGCTCCCATCACCTTTTCTTTGTGTGCGCTGTGCGGAGAGCTCTCGAGTGTCTCTTCTCTGTACTTAAAAGGACACTAATCCTGTTGGATCAGGGTTCTACCCTTCTGACCTTATTTAACCTTAATTACTGCCTTAGAGGCCACATCTCCAAACACAGCCACACTGTGGGTTATGGCTTTAAGATAGGAATTGTAGGGGTGCACAAACATTCAGCTCACAACAATTGCTGGTGGTGGAAATATAACCAGAATGGGAAAAGAGATAGCAGAGGGGGAAGAACTGAGGCATGGGGTAGGAAGGAATTAATGTTTGTATATTTAAGAATGATCTGGGGCTGGGCACGGTGGCTCACACCTGTAATCCCAGCACTTTGGGAGGCCGAGGCAGGTGGATCACTTGAGGTCAGGAGTTCATGACCAGCCCGGCCAACATGCTAAAACCCCATCTCTACTAAAAATACAAAAATGAGCTGGGCATGGTGGCACGTGCCTGTAATCCCAGCTACTCGGGAGGCTGAGGCATGAGAATCACTTGAACCCGGGAGGCAGAGGTTGCAGTGAGCTGAGATTGCGCCACTGCACTCCAGCCTGGGTGACAGGAGCGAAACTTCATCTCAAAAAAATACCAAAAACAAAAAGTAAAACTCAATTGTTTCTATATAGATCCCATCAAAGAATGCTCATTATTTAGTGCATATATTAGTAAATGCAAGGGAGAGAGGTGGCATATAATTATAACTACTACAAAGATTTACAAACACCAGGTTTCATTGCAAAAGTTTTTGGAAAATCCTATTTCAAAAATATCTAACATTTTAAAATTAAGTTTCTCAATGCTGATTTGAGACTTCTTAACTACCTAATTGTTTATCACAATACTGGATGCCTATAATAAATGTAAATAATAGCTCAGACTTTTCTTCTCACTCTGGTTGTAAGAACTTCAGTTTCTGAATATTATTGTTTTGTCAGTTTTCTAGGGAAAATGTCAGTCCTTTGATTTATGTTGATCAATAAATTTACCTTTCTTCCAGCAAATTCCTGCCCTGGAAGCCTGCCAAGCCATGAGTTTTGTGAATGAAATACTTGTGTTTGTGAGATTTCTATGAAATGTAGAATTGTTGGATACCTTTTACTAAATCACAGTGAAATATCTGATGCAGTTAGCGAATTGTGCTTGAATTGTGTTGCATCTGGCACTAATTTCAAGCATGTAGCTCTCATTTAAATTCTCAACCATATCTTTAAAAACACAAAGCAGTTTTTCTTTGCCAAGAAATATTATAGTTTATGAACAGCTTTTCCTTACATTTAACAATTTTTTAGTGTAGAGTCACACCCATATTATAAAAGATTAATTGTGGAGTTCTTTTTGGTGGCTGCTAAATCCCTGATTGATGAATAATTTCTCAAAATATAATGAAACCCCTTAAATATTTTTAAGTTGGAAAAGTGAATACAACTTTGTTGAACATATAATAAATGTACTTCTTGCTGAAACTGAGAAAGAGAATATTAATTTCCTTCTATACAAACACCTCTTTTTTGGCATTGAGAGGAAAAAGTGATTTAGTGACTTAAGCAAAAGAATTGAAACCAGGGAGTTCTGAATTTCAGGATTCATGTTGATATCCTTCATGATTAAGGAATGACAATTTCTCTATCTGGATTTTTTTTTTTTTTTTTTTTTTTTTAACACAGTCTGGCTCTGTCACCCGGGCTGGAGTGCAGTGGCTGATCTTGGCTCACTGCAAGCTCTGCCTCCCGGGTTCACGCCGTTCTCCTGCTTCAGACTCCCAAGTAGTTGGGACTACAGGCGCCCACCACCATGCCAGACTAAATTTTTTGGGGTTTTTTTTGGTAGACACGGGGGGTTTCATAGTGTTAGCCAGGATGGTCTCGATCTCCTAACCTTGCGATCCGCTCACCTCGGCTTCCCAAAGTGCTGGGATTACAGATGTGAGCCACTGTGCCTGGCCCTCTATCTGGATTTTTTTTTTTTTAGGTTTGCAAACTGAAGCATCTATAAACCATGTTAGTCTTCCAAGAATATGTCGAATAACTAACACTACGATATCAACAGGACTTGACGTTTGAGAAAACAAAATTTCTGTAATACAGAACATTGCCAAAGAAAAACGCTTTTTATTTATTGGTCATGTCTAGTAATTCTAATTTTTCAGTTCCAACAGGTTGTACATAGGCAGAAAGCAGAACAGGAGAGGGAGGCTTATTGAGCATTTTTGTAGGCTATGAAATTTGTATCTAATATCTTATGTAATCTTATAAGGTAGCTATTAGTGTATCCATTTTATAGCTAAGAAAATTTGAAACTTCAAGAGCTTAAGAAACTTGTCTAATGTCATGTGCTTAGTAACATGCAGAACCAGAGTGGGGAAGTTTCACTGGACTCAAAAGATCCTGCTGTCTCCACTGTCCACATACTGCCTCTTTTAAGAAGAGGTTCCTGATAAATGCCAGCACAATGCAACCAATAAAGTGTGGATATCATTACTGCCCAGTGGCACGTTATACCCACCGGGAACTCATAAAAAGAGAGGCTTCAGTAGCAGAATGTCTTCTCTCTCTCCTTCCCCCTCAGGATCTAGTGAGTGATCAGATCCCATTCGAGGCATCCTCTTCAATTATTCCTGATTCGTTATATTGAAATCTATGTTAATTTCCTTTTCTTAATACTTTCACCTTCCAAAAACATCCCACTGTCTGATTAATGTCTCTGAATGAAGGAATACATGTAAAACTTTAATATAGAGCCTGGCATGTAGTCAGTGGCTAATATTAGCTTCCTTCCTTCCTTCACGTGTGAAAACTAAGAAACCCATAAATGTTGATAGAGTATTAGATTATCTGTCAATATCTTCATAGTCCTTACTATGTGCCCAAGGCTCAGCACTATGCTAAGGGTTGAAGATGCAAAAAAAGAACTGTGTAGAAACTGGCCTCAAGAAGTTTGTAGTCTGAGACATAATAATATTTAAACCATGAGTACTATAATTGTGAGGTTCATGATGTAAATATGAACTATGGAAGTCCTAAGAATGGAAAAGTAAGCTAAGTGGAATTTACTATATACTATTTCCTTTGCCTGAAATACATTTCTCTTTTGTATCTGCTAAATATCTTTTCATCCTTTCAAACCAGATCAAATATATACATTGGCTTTTTATCTATACCTTGTCTTATTTTTAAATGGTCACTCTAGGGATTACAGTACTCATCCTTTTTACAGGCTTCTTAAAGTTAACATTTTAACAATTTGTGTGAAATGTAGAAATATTGGAACTGCGTGGGTCCTTTCAAAGCTCTTGGCCCACTCTTAATGTTGTCATATGCACTGCATCTACACACATTGTAAATCTCACATTAAGATATTTTTATTTCCTTGAAACTATTATGTATTTTAAAGGAATACAGAGGAAAAAATGGTCTTTTACACTTACATATTTACTATTTCCAAGGCTTTTCACTCCATCCTGTAAATCTGAATTTACATCTGCTTTCATTTACCTTCATTCTAAATAATTTCTTTTAGCATGGCTTGTAGTGTAGATTTGCCAGCAATGGATTTTCTTAGTATTCTTTTATCTGAAAATATCTTTATCTTTTTTAAAGTGAAGTGTATTGAGGAATAATTTTATAATTTACATACAATATAAATTCACGCCTTCTGTATACACTATGATTTTTGACAAATGCATATAATCATGTAAACACTACCACAATCAGTATACAGAATATATCCAAGTTGCCATCATGCCCATATATAGTCAACCACTTCTCCCTCCCCAGCCCCTATAAACTACTGAGGTATTCTCTGTCCTCATAGTTTTGCCATTTCTGGAATGGAGTCATATAAATGAAATCAAATAGTCTGTAGTCTTTGGAGTCTGGCCTAGTTCAAGGAGCTTAATGCATATGAGGATCATGCGTGTTGTTGCGTGTATCAGCAGATTGTTCCTTCTTATTGCTAAGTAGTATTCCATTGTGTAGCTATACATAGTTCGTCTATTCACCAGATAAAGGATATTTGAATTGTTTTCAGTTTTTAGCAATTATTAATTATAAATAAAGATGCTAAAATGCTCACATAAAGGTTTTTGTATAAAAAAAAGTTTTCGTTTCTCTTAGGTAAATACCTAGGCATGGGTTTGCTGGATTAAATGATAAGTTTTTATTTAACTACATAAGAAACTACCAAAGTGTTTTCAAAAGTGCCTGTACCATTATACATTTTCACCAGTAACGTATGAAAATTCCTGTTGCTCCCCATTCTTCGGTATGGACATAAAAAGTAAGTGTGTTCAAGTAAGTGTATAGTGGTATCTCATTGTGTATCAATTTTAATTTATCTAATAACTTATGATGTCTCTGGATTGTCTTTTGACTTTTTAACGGTGTGTTTCAAAGAGCAAAGTTTTCCATTTTGCTAAAGTTTAACATCAATTTTTTCTTTCATAGTTTATGCTTCAGATGTTATGTCTAGGAAATTCTAAGAAATCCTTGCCTTGTCCAAGGACACAAAGACTTTTTTTGCTTTTTATTATAACTTTTTTCTTTTTTCTTTTTTTTTTTTTAGAGACAGGATCTTACTCTGTCACCCAGGCTGAAGTGCAGTGACATAACCATAGCTCAAGGCAACCACAGCTCACTGCAACCTCAAACTCGTGGGCTCCAACCATCCTCCCGCCTCAGCGCCCTGAGTCTCCATTAACCATGACTGGCTAATGGTCACAAAAATTATTTTCAATTTTATTATTTCTGTTTTATGCTACACATTTTTATAGTTTTAGATTATAGGTTTATGATCCATTTTGCGTCAACTATATATATGATATAGTATATGTCAAGGATTATTTTTTGGTACCTGGATGTCCAGTTGTTCCAGCATGATTTATTGAAACTCCTTCTTCCAGTGAATTGCCTTTGCACCTATGCTGAAAATCAAACTGACCATATATATTCTAGACTCAATTCTGTTCCATTAGTCTATGCATATATTCTTTCTCCAATATACACTGTCTTAATGACAGTGGCTTTATGATGTGTTTTGAAATCAAGTAATGTCAGTCTTCCAACCACATTCTTTTTTTAAAATTGTTTTTACTATACTGGTTTGTTTGCTTATTCATATAAATTTTAGAATTAGCTTGTCAGTTTCTACAAAAATATGCTGCTAATATTTTGATTGGGACTGCATTAAACCTATAGATCAATTTGGAGAGAACTGATGTCTTAACATTATTGAGTCTTCCATGAAAAGTTTATCTCTAGATTTATTTAGGTCTTCTTTAATTTCTCTCATGAATATTTTGGGGTTTCAAACATATGATCATGCACATATTTTATATTTAAAACTGTTTCATGGCTTTTATGCTATAAATTGTTATAAACTGTGTTGGAACTCTTTTTAATTTCAATTTCCAACTTTTCATTGCTATTATATATAAATAATTTTTAGATTTTTATTATGCATTTTGTTGTTGTTGTATGGATTGTTCTGCAGACATGAGTTAGCTCAACTTGCTCCTGCTGTTCAAGTTTTGTACTTCCTTATTGATTTTCTGCCAACTTGTTTAATTGATTACTGAGACAGGAATGTTGAATTCTCAAACTGTTATTATGGATATGTCTATTTCTTCTCTCATTTATATCAGGTTTGCTTCTGGTATTCGAAGCTATGTTTTCAGGTGCCCATATATATGGGGGTTTTATGACGTCTTTGTGAATTGACCTTTTTGTTGTTATGTAATAGTCGTCTTTATCCTTGGTAATATTCCTTATTCTGAAGTCTATTTTGTTTGATATCCAGATAGCCACTCTAGGTTTTAAAAAATTTGTATTTGCATGGCATATCTTTATCCATTATTTTATTCTTAACATATATATGATTTACATTTAAAGTGTATGGTGGCTCATGCCTGTAATCCCAACACTTTGGGAGGCTGAGGCAGGTGTAGTGTTTGAGCTCAGCAGTTTGAGACCAGCTTGGGCAACATGGTGAGACCCCGCTTCTAAAAAAAAAAAAAAAAAAAAAAAGTGCAAAAATTAGCCAGACACAGCTACTTGGAGGCTGAGATGGGACTATCACTTGACCCCAGGAGGTTGGGGCTGCAGTGAGCCAAGATCCATGCCTCTGCACTCAAGTCTGGGCAACAGAGCAAGACCCTGTTTCCAAAAAAAAAAGGTGTATTTCTTATGGATAATACGTACTTGGGTCTTGCTTTTTTATCCTGTCAATCTCTTTAAATTGTTGTAGCTGGAGCATTTATATTTGATGTAATTATTGGTATAGTCATTTAAATCTACCACCTTTCTAGATATTTTGTATTTATTCTATTTCTTCTTTGTTCCTTCTTCCTGTGCTTTTCCCAGGTGAGTCAGTGCTCCCGTATCATTGCTCCTTGAAGGAGCTTGTCATTTCTTAGATTTATAGCTATTTGTTTGCCCTGTGAACTTAGTGTTCTGGGTTCAAGGAAAGTTATACTTTTGTCATTTATATGACACTTTCTTATTTTTACGATGGTATTAATGCTCTTTGTAGCTTTCTATGTCTTAGGTAGAAGTGGAACTCATCTTTATTCTTGAAGGCGCTTTTTCTGGATATGGAATTCTGGGTAGATAGTTTTTTCATTTATTATTTTGAAATTGTTGTTCCATTGTCTTTTAGCCTCTGTTATTTCTGATGCAATCTTTGAGGTCCTTCAAGTTATTATTCCCCTATATGGAATGTGTCATTTTTCTCTGACTGCTTGGAAGACTGTCTGTTTATCTTTGGTTTTCAACAGTTTGACTGTAGTGTTTCTAAATATGCTGTTTATGTTTTAAATATTTTGCTTGAAGTTCACTGAACTTCTTGAACTACAAAATTTATATCTTTAGCTAAAATTGAGGAATTTTCAGCCATTATTTCTCCAAATAATGTCTCTAGTCTGTTCTCTCATTACTTTTCTCCAATTTTGGATATTTTATATTTGTTTACAGGACTCTGAGGCTCTGATCATTTTTTAAAATAGGCCAGGCATGGTGGCTCATACCTGTAATCTCAGCATTTTGAGAGGCCAAGGCAAGAGGATCACTTGAGCCCAGGAGGCCACAACCAGCCTAGGCAACATAGTGAGACCCCCATCTCTATTTAGAAAAAAACCATATATTAAAAAAAAGTTTTTCCTCTGTTCTTCAGAATATATTATTTTTAATGGTCTATCTTCAAGTTCTCTGATTCTTTCTTTTATCATATCCATTCTGCATCTAAGCCATCCAGTGAATTTTTTATTTTACATATTTTATTTTTCTGTTTTAGAATTTCTATTATTTCCTTTTTATAGTTTATATCTCCCAACTAAGGTTTTCTATCTTTTCATTATTATAATATATTTTCATTTCAGTCCTGAAGCATAATTATTTTTTAAATTCTTATCTTTTGATTTCAACTTTGGTGTCATCTCAGAATTAGTCTCTATTGATTTTCTTTTTCCTTAAAGCTGCTTCATGTTTTTTTTATCTTTATATGACAAGTAATTCTGAACTTTATGCTAGAAATTGTGATGGATATGTTGTAGAAACTCTGGATTTTATTATGCTTCTTCAAATGAATATACATTATATATAAATAAATATATAATGTATATAAAAAAATTTTATATATATATATATATATATATATATTTTTTAAGCAGACACCTAACTAGGTTAAGCCCAAACTGTAAGCTCTGTCTCCCTGGCAATAGGTGGCAGTTCAAAGCTAAGCTCAGTTATTTTAGCCTTAGCTGGGCTCCTTAAAGTCTGCCCCTCACTTGCATAATTCAACGGTCATCCAAAGATTAGTACATAGCTTATATGTAGAAATTAGGCTCACCCTTTCTGCCTCGCTTCTTTTCAAGATTCCAGTTCAGTTTCTAGCAGCTGTTATTGACCCAAACTCTTTCCCCAAGTAAGATTTCTATTCAGTTTCTAGCCTTCCTACCCAGCTTTGGCTATGACCTGGTCTCAGGATAAAAGCTTGAAAAAAAAAAAAAGGTAAACTAATCCCTTGCCTTCCACTTCTTCTGAGTATCTAACCTCTCCAGTGTTTGCCTGCTTTTGTTTCTTCTCCAGTGCCTTAGAACAGTTATTTTGCTTCTTTCTAAAGTCTACAGTTATTATGTATGGAAAGGTTGGTTGGTAACACAGAAGCTTATTTGGGAAGTGTGTTTGTAATTCAAACAGTTACATACCTCCTTAAACATCCCTTGTGTTTTTCATGGAGTCTTTTCGTCATCATTGTTGTTGTTGTTGTTAGAGTTTATTCATTTTAGTTTATATTATTTAAGATCAAGGACTGTTACATTTTATGTTCAGTACCACTTTGACAACTGTATTATCTATAGTGGTAGATGCTGGGAACTTGGTAAATATTTAAATGATGAATAACGAGTAAACTTGGCATACATTTTTCTTAGCTATACAGAATATATCCTTGTTGAGAAAATTTATTCTGTGTAAGAAGACCTAATTAATAATTGCTGTTTTTCATTAAAAATTGCCATTAGAGCAGAAAAAAACACACTTAGATTTCTTTAAAAACAGAACCTCACTTCTCCTCTAAAATAAAATTTTGATTCCATGTATTTAACATTGACTTAAAATCTATTAATGTCAAAGTACTTTAGAGAACACTATTTTTGTGTGAAAGGGTAGGATAATTAAATATGACAGATAATTCTAAGAACCCTTATCTGAAAACAAAATTTTTTTAAAAAGACAGAAAAGACATGCTCCCTGCCATCCAAGAATCTAAAATCTAGTTGGGGATACAGACAGAAGTAAATAACTTTAATATAAAGCAAAAAACTGTTAAGTGCTATATTGAGATTAGAACAAACTATTATGTGAGAAGACATGGACACATAGAGGGGAACAACACGCACTGGGGCCTATGGAAGGGTGGAGGGTGGGAGGAGGGAGAGGTTCAGGAAAAATAACTAATGAGTACTAGGCTCAATGCCTGGGTGAGGAAATAATGTGTACAACAAACCACCATGGCACAAGTTTATCTGTGTGACAAACCTGCACATGTACCCCTGAACTTAAAATAAATGTTAAAATAAAACTATCAAGATCACAGTAAATAGAAAACAATGTAATCAGTTCAGGATTCCAAAGAGTTTTTTGGTAAAGGTAGGATATATACCGGCCTTAGGAGGAAGTAAAGAGCTTAATAGGTATATATGATAGGAAAATTTATCTTAGAAAAATTTGGAAAATGTTCGGCCATGTTTAGGAAAGAGTAGCATGGTTTAATGATAAGACCTAGGACTTTGAAATCACAAAGATATGTATGACTGTGTTCAACAATCTAAACTTCCCCAAACCTCAGTTTCATCATCAGAAAAATGGGAAAGGTGAGTGGAGTTCAAATTGTGGAGACTCTCTCTGAAAAGGTAGGTTAATAGAGGCCTGTAGACTGTAGTTAGGGAAGCCTGCTAGTTGGCTGTAGCAATAATAAAGTAAAAAGTATTGGCAATAGGACTGAATCCAAAAACAAAAGATCGTATTTTCTGTTCCAAGCATAGACTGGAAAAAAATGAGAAAGAGGGAACAAATATAAAGGATTTGGCCATTGATTCTATGGAGAAAGGAAAGAAGGAAACTCAGGAAGTTTAATGGAAACAGCTAGAACCAATTTAATGAAACAGCTCTGAAATTATTGTAGATTATATATTATTATTTTATATGGTATATACATAGGATTCTTTTTCTGATATAAAGAGAATTATTTAAAATATATTTTGAAATAATCATAAACTATTTTAAGTGGTAATAAGACTTGAAAGATGCTGCAAAAAAAATTATCAATGTTTACTAATTTTTTAAATTAAAACTTAAAGATCTTTCTCCATAATTTTGCTTGACAGAATTTTTAGATTTTATTTTTGTTTACTATTTTGTTCATTGAGGTCTTATTAACATATACTTCATGTTTTGCCATATATTACATCTCTTTTATAGCCACGATCCACTCATTAACACCTCCTTAGAACTTCATTAAAATGTTTTATCCATATATACTATTGGATTTTTAAATTTTTTTTTGAATAGTGGGGAAATATTCACAGAAAGGAAATGATACCTATGGTTCATAAGCCTAGAAACTCTTACTAAATGCAAACAAGCTGACATTCATAGTTAAGTGACTACAAGAGGCAATAGCTTAAAAATCGTGCTGTTGAATTTCAATATATTTATGTCTTTTGTGTTTATTAGCATGAATAATAATTCACTAATGTGTGTCTGCTAGGTACAAAACGCCATGCTAAGCATAACATACACATTATCTCACTTAATTTTCATGACAGCCATACATGATACTCTGATTATCCCTAAATTAAACTAAGGGAAATTAAAGTTCAGAAAAGGTTATGTGCTCGTGATCGTATAGCTAGCAAATGGCAGAGTTTAGATCTGAGCCTAGGATCACCTAACTCCCAAGCCCATATGCTTTCTCCTATACCACATTGCCTCCCCCAGGAAAGAAGAGAAGGGCGAGGATGGAAGAATCTCTAAAAACGAACTGAGTCTTTCCTAACTGCCAAACGATTCCAAGTGCTTTTACATACACTGACTAATTGAATTCTCACAACAGTCATAGCGGGGAGGTTTCTTGTTATCTCCATCTAGTATATGAGTAAACCAAACAAGGTACCTAGATCTTCCACATGGCATTCAACAATTCTACAACCAAGATGTGCATAACAGTTGAGAACTTGGAGCCAAACAACATCATTTGATAGCCACCGGGAACGTCTTCCTGGTCCCTAAATCTCTTCTCCACAGTTTTCCCCTATCGAAACAAAAATAATCCTGGGGGCGAGAACACAGTAAACTTCATTATCCAACTGCACTGCAGTGAAACTGAATGACCATCTGGGTTCGGGGAGGTCGTTTTAATGAGAGGAGAGCTAGCAGGCCAAAGGCACCCAAGAAGAAGGGGCCGGGGCACGCTGGGAGGAGGAAGAAAGGAGTTAATGAGGATGGTTGAGAAGCAGAAAGCCACGCTCACCTACTTCATGTTTTTCTGGGCTTGGTCTTGCTGCAACCAAACTCACATTTGCAATTCAGAAATGGAGATAAGACAATTAGGCGAACACACTGTGTTCCAGAGAAGATGCTGAATTCAAGTATATTCGTTTTTATTATTCTTTATTTATGAACAACATAAAGCACTCTGCGTGAGATTAGATGTTAAGAGCTATCCATCTGGCTCTGCCAAATATTAACTCAGGTTAATTGTAGGCGGCTCAATCTATCATCCATGTGACGGCTTCACATTTTCAAACAATGTACTAAATGTTCCTCTAAGTTGATGTTATTCCCATACTATATATCACATGGGATTTGCCATCTTAACTGCATGAGTGTGTAATGCTATAAGTGACCCTGTGGCAAAAAGAGAAGCAAAGAGTGGGAAGGACTCAAGTTGGGCCCTGATCATACTCCATCCAGGTGTGATAATGAATTAAGTTAATCTGTGAGTATTTTCTTAACCATAGACTGGAAAACTCTCATTCCCAAGAAGTTGTTTTGACTTTTAAGCAGGGAATCCTATAAAAGGTAGACTATTATAAACTCTCCTAAAGCAAAATATTTGCTTTATGTAAATAGCCTTCTCAAGGTAATAAATAATTAAGGAACCTCAAAATAAAATAATGTATGAAGCTCTGAATCCCTAACCAAAAAGATTTCCAAAGATTTACCTTCAGAAAGAATCCATCTTTAAGAAGAAATACTGAAAACATACCAACTGCCCTAAGTTCCAAAATCATAAGCAACAATTAAGAGCAATAATTAAAATGGAGAGTCCCATGTTCAGGAGTTGCAAAGACCTGGATACCAATTCTTTTCTCCCAGGCAAGTTACTTAACCTCCAAGACTTTAGATGTTCATCTGCAAAACAGGAATAACAGCACGTGCTCTGCCAGCTTGCACAGCAGTTGTGAGGATCAAATGCAGAGGCAGCAATAAGAGCGCAGCACCACCTGTACCACTGAGACAATCCAGGTATACAAGGTACAGCGAGGTCTGGCCCAGGGGCTGACCTCAGACTGTGCTTTACACTCTGTGTCTTACTGCATCATTTCTGGAAGATTATTTCAGAAGGTGGTAATTATAGAGAGTAAATCAGGGCTAAAGCAGGATGAGAACTTGCTTGGATATTCTGTTGAGGAAAGATAGGTGGAAGGAGCAAAGGGCTCAGCACCCAAAACTCTGGGAATCACTCAACTTTAGGCAAAGATAGCAAACAGCACTCTTAAAATGAGTTAAGTGGAAGACATAGGGGCAAAGGAGGTAGGCATCCTGTCCTGGAACCTCTGGTTGGAGTGGGTTGAAGAGGGACCTGATAAGACTAGTGATTTTGTTGTCATCTTAAGATGGTATCTAAGTAGAAAACTAGTCTGTAAAAATAGATACCAGAAACCACTTGTGCCTGTCACGGGGTGGTGGGACCATTGGTGGGAATGTATGATTTTTATTCTTTTTGTTTATCTATATTTTCTACTATGAGAATTCCACAATGAGAATGTATTATTTCCATAATGAAAATGCTATTTCTGCAAAAAGTAAAAATGTATAGATTTTAAATTATATATTATATGTTTAAAAAAACTGGATTTTTTTTTTTTTTTTTTTTTTTAGTTACTGGGCACTTTATTTTATAGGTAACTTCTATAAAGATGGAAGCTGCTTCTGGCTCATCAGCCATCGTTGATGATAACCAGTCCTACAATTCTCATTAGGTGGTTCTGTTACCCCACTATTTCCTTGGGGTCTGTTGTGCTAAGGAAAGGATTGGTTGGGTAAAGAGGTGTGGCACAAATAACCCTCAGGAATACAGGCCACACAGCTAATGAAGGGCCCCAAGGAAAGAAAGACCTGCCCATCAGCGATGAATTCTCTCCCCTCATGCCACAGACCTGAGGGCACGTGACCCAGGAATGTGCATCCAAAGATAATACTACCTTCAGAGAACTCTACTTATAGGTAAGTAACTCTCCTTTATAGGAGGTATCTTTGTGTGGCAGACTGTTTATGCGAGCAATTTGAATTGAACTTTAAATGAAAAAGGCATATCTCTGTAAGTGGTAATAATTTTAGTCATCTCACTGTGGCTAGGGGTTGTGGAATTCATTAGCACAGATTAACATATAAAGTGGGTGAGATATCTAATAGCAAACGGAGAGGTTTAGGGGCCTTAATTCATCACTGAATGAACAGCGTGTACAGTATTAGGGACTATGAAATTTTTAATTTACACAAAGTGTCCAAGAATATAGGGAATAAATTTAAACCCAAAACAGATAATGGAGCTATGCCCTACCTGGCTGGCAAGTTGAATTGTTTTTACACTGAGTGAAGAAAGCTAATTATCCCAAGCACAAGGAGACTGCTAAAAATAATAAGATTATAAGGAATAATTTGCTGATATAATTACAACAAAATTGGGTACACACAATCGTCAGATACATGTATTGCTTGACCTGGGTGAGAAAGTGAAATAAATCCTTCTTCTATAGCCTTCGTAAATTTGTTTTTATCATCTCCAAGTGGTGTTTGCACAGGCAGCACAATTTGCATGTGTAATGTGGCTGTACAAATTGACAACAAGTAAATTATTCAAGGAAATAGGCTGGTCGCGGGTCTGAACTATCTCGGAAAGCCTATTCATTTTGAAGAATCACTGAGACGTGAAGCTCATACATCAACCGTTTTCTGACAATCCTCAGACTTATTGTCTCCTAAAATGTCATTATGGCTATTATTTATGAAGCTAATTCATTTATTAATATATATTTAACTCTGACTTGTCATGCACCTTAGCAGACATTCTGTGCACTGCATATTTTTGAATAGATGAAAGGCTTTTGCATGCTTTAATGATTACTGTAAGCTGCTATAGATTTATAGAATGCAGCTTTATTATCTACTTGCATTAATACCTTTTTATAAGTTTTTTTTCTTAAGGCCATCAAATATAAATGGCAAATGACATATTCAAAAGATTGTGTGGAATAAGATTTTCCGAGAGTTCGTTGAATTTTAGAACAAAGTGGGTTATCTGTCAGTTAAGGCCTAATTCACCTAAAAAGATGGGTATATACCAATTATGTTGAATTTTCCTGCGAAATATGGGCTTTGGTTTTTCAAGAAAAAGTACAAGATTCATGATTCACTGAGCTCTTTCCTTGTGAGAAGAAAGACCACTCTTATGTGCTGAAGTTGGACAACAGTTCCCGAGGAAGCTGAATTCTAGCTGTTTATTGTTATTGGGTCTTGTACTATGCCCTTTATGTTGTCATTAATCAATAAATACGTGTGGAACAAATGATTAGCTAGATGGATGATCTCCAGGTTTTCTGATAATGCCATGAGTAAAATCAGTAGAATCAAACATCTACCTAGAATACTATTTTATATAGTTTTGCTTTCTGCTTTAGCACTTCTAACCTCTCGAGAACATTCCGTAACTCCCACTATGATTTAAAAATAAGCCATATGTGTATGTAATTAAAATACACAGCACATGTTATTTTTACAGTCTGCATAATAATATATCAATACTAGACATGTATTGCTACTTCTTGTTGTCACTGGATATATTCTGCTCACTAAATGTGACCTTGACTACTGTGTGTGTGTGAGTGTGTGTGTGAATGTGAGTGTGTGAGTGTGTATGTGTCTGTGTGTGTGTTTATGTGTTGGGAGGCAGTGAGAAGAAACTGAAGAATAAAAAGGAAGGACGATACAGTTGCCTCAGCTGTTCTGCTGTGAGTATGTTTCATGCTAACCATTCAAATATTCACCATATTTCTAACTTAACATTTCTGCATTTTTGTAGATGCAAATGTAAAGCTCTTAAAGTACCAACCAAGCAGAAGGACAGCACAGGCAAACCTAACACTCCTGCCATTAAACTATGGATCTGAAATTGTGATAAACCAGATGCTCCATTTTAAAGATAAAAATTGTACAAAGATAAAAAATGTCATATACCCGAATATTATGTTGAATATATTAGTTTTAATAAGGTCATGAAATCACCAAAACTTTGAGATAATTAAGATGTGTTGCTAAAATGTTGCTTAATCTATGAAGATAGAAAGTAGAATTAGCTGGGTGTGGTGGTGTGCACCTGTAGTCCCAGCTACTAGTGAGGCTGAGGCAGGAGGATACCTTGAACCCAGGAGGCAGAGGTTGCAGTGAACTGAGATCACGTCACTGCACTTCAGCCTGGGCAACAGAGTGAGACCCTGTCTCAAAAAAAAATATGTAGGTTAGTCGTTGCTTAGGGCTGGTGGGAAGTAACTGCTAATGGGTGTGGGAGTTCTCTTGGGGGTGACAAAAATGTTTTAAAATTAGACGGTTGTGATGATTACACAACCCTGTGAATAGACTAAAAACCACTGAATTGTGCTGAATTATGCTTGTTAAATGTGTGAACTATAATGGTATGCCAATTATATCTCAATATGGCTGTTTAAAAAGTACTGCTTGATCTATGCCAAAATTAGTTTGCTATATATAACCAATGCCATATACTATGAATAGTAGCATAAGAAATAATTTAAGAAACTAGCTTATGAATGAAACCAAATTTAAGTATAAGATAAATGATCTATCCACAAAAGCATAGGAAGGAGGCCTGCTTTCCAGAAACTCAAACTTCAACAAGAATGGTATTCATGTTACATGATCTGATAAGAGAGACAAAATTCTTATGTCTCAAACACTGATATAAGCTACCAAATGTAGTCAGACAAAATCTTAAGTAAATGTACAGGAAGATACAATTTTCCTTTAGCATTATTGAATAAGAACAACAAAGCATCAAGAATCTATTTTTAAAAGTAATTTTCTTACATTAAGTTGTCTCTCAAAATGTCATATTAGATATGGAAAGCAAACCACACACGTACATACGAAATGTCTTTCTAACTGCATCACCCTGGCAGGGAAGGCTGATGACATTTTTATTAGTAATATTAATCACATGCTTAAAGGGGAAAATGTCTCGCTTTTTCAAGGACCATAATATTTACCTATTTACACCTTTTAAAATTTCAATAAGTCCATCTTAGAACCCTTAACCCCCTTCAAAAAAAACAAGTAACCTTCAAAAAAACAAGTAAAATGAAAATTAATAAATGTTCCTTAGTGTGCTATGAACCATTAATTGTACAGACTGAACAGCTTTAGCCTAATAAGAAACATGCCTTCAGCAGAAATGTGAAAGTCACCTGATGCTTATGATTTAACGATAAAAATGTGTAGTCAATTTGCAACGAAGTTAAGACCTACAACCCTGGAATATTTTAACTACAAATTCTTGCAGATACCTGAGGAACTTTGAAAGGTGAACAACCTGAAGTAATGAAATGTTCTCAGCATGAATTAAGTAATTCATCTCTAAAGTGGTCTGAAGATAGAGGCAATAGAATTTCCAGTAATAATAAATGATCAGAGATGGATTTGGCCTGACACTCCAAGAAAGTACAGACGTTGCATTAATCTGGCAACAAAATAATTGTATCAGTAATTTTTTAGAGAAAAGATATTATAATATTAGAAGTAAAGACATGTTAATAGCATCATTAATCATAAACCTCATATAAATTTTTAAAATCAGCTCTAGGTTTAGCAATAAAAATCCTAAGTATAATTCATTCATTCAAATAAATAAATACTTATGTAATTCTTACTGTGAATGAAGGCTAGAGTATACAATCTGGTGCTAAAGTGGGCAGATTCCAGGGGATATAAAGATGAATTAAATGCAGTCTTGTCTTTGAGGAACTTAAAATGAGAGGAGTGTGATGTTTTTGCCAAAATTTCACCATTCTTGTTTGAGTCATTTCCATTGAGCAGCGTTTTACTTTTATAATCAGAACGAAGAGTGTTGATTTTATTTTTTAAGAGATTTAAGTGCCATTGAGTGAGATACAAAGTTTTACAGGTGTTCGGAAGAGGGATCCCTGTCAAGGAAAATTTTCGAGGAAGAGTGAGTGTGTGAGCTGGGCATGGAAAGAAGACCATCTTAATGACAGACTGAATCAGGGAAGGCAATCCAGGTGGAAGGTATCGTATCAGCTAAAGCTGGAATGTGAAATTAATGGAGAGCAATGCAGTATGGCTGCAGGGTAGGGTACCTACAGAGCAGAAAAAGCTAGCATGTAGTATTGGGGCTCGATCATAGGAGGCCTACACTATCACACTCAAGAATGCAGATTTGGTTTGCCAGGCCATGTATGTAAGGTACTTAGCAAACAGTGCCGTGTGCATCAAGATATACGAGCCATTATCATTAGTGTTCAATGTCTCCTAAGAAGATGGAGCAGAGGGAAGGCTATAGATCTCCTGGGCAGCCAGTTCAGTGTCCTCCGTCTATCCCATAGGTAGGCTCCAGATGAGTGTACCCCAGCAGGTAGGTCTGTACTGGGGTGTGACTCACTTTCAGATTGTCCCTGACTCACCATCTCCCCCAGCACTCATATCCCTCAGCGTCATGCAGTGACACTCTGAAAGTTCTTTCAGTGCAAAGACTATGTCCTCTTCTATATCTTTGTTGCCATGGCCTTAGCACATACGAGGTGTTCAAGAAATGTTCATTGAACCAACTGCACATTAGGTATGAATACTTCCAGACAAATAAATACATTGATACTCTGGCCAATGTGTCAGAACAGATGGCCTATTCATTTAGTAATTGAATTTGTCATCACTGGACATACTAATGATAGCTAGTTTCTGGATCTGCCAGGTTCCCAAATGAGGCATTGTCCAGAGAGGCCCTTGCTTGCAGTCCTCTGGATATAGACATCGTCTCAGTTCTCCTCCTTTACCCCTAAACTACCATACCTACCTCTATAGGGATATTGTGGGTGAAATAAGGGTTTTCACATGCCTTGCATTGTGCCTGATGGCCTGATGCATACTAAAATTCAGTAAGCATGCTTGTTCCCCTAAACAGAATATCTGACTTGTCCACCCATTGGCTACAGCATGGTAGACCACTTAGTGTACTGCTTTGGAGACAAAAGAAGAGAAGGCTCTTTTACAATTTTCATCTGAATGTCTCCTTTAGACAGATGGAGCCACCTTATGGACGTTGACATACTCTATCCTTTTCTATGATGGTACACAACTCCTTGTGGCTGAGCTCAGTTCTTGAAAATCCAGAATTATAAAGTTCAGAGCTATAGCATAGGTCAAGTTCCTCTTCCCACCAAGATCTAAGGGATTGAAGTTCACAGTGAAGAATTAAAGGAGGGATCGAGGCCCAGAGTGGTCCAGTGACTTGCCTCTGATGAGCACCGTTATGAAGTGGGAGAGGAGAAGAATGTTCAGTTTTAATCAGAGTCTTTGCCATCACGGAGACAGTGAAGCCGAGTGGTTAAGAGCAGGGGCAACCAAACTGACACACGTACAAAATCCCAGCCCCCCACCTATTTTTACAAATAAAGTTTTATCAGAACAGGGTCATGCCCGTTAATTTCTGCATCATATTTGGCTGTGTTTGCACTACAGCAGCAGCAGCAGAGATGAGTGGGTGCAACAGAGATCATAAGTCCAACAAGGCCTGAAATATTTGCTATCTGGCCTTTTGCAAAAAATGTGCACTGACCTTCTGTTAAGAATAATGGCTTTGTTAGGCAGAATTGAGTTTAAATCCTACTTCCAACTTGGGTGAGTTAACCTCTTTACACCTCAGTTTCTTCATCTGTAAAGTGGGAGTAATAAAAGCATCTACTTTGAGGGATTATCATGAGGATTAAATACCCCAAAGTACCTAGCACAATGCTTGGACCATAGTAAACTTATTTAATGTGAGCAATGACAATGATGATGGTGTACATATATGTAAAATCATCATACTGAGGACACTATACCTCGAAAAGGCTTTAACACTGTGTTTTAAATGTACCTGGGATTTGTTTTAATCAAGTATGCTGAGATATGCAGACACAGAATAACTGTCATGAAGGAGGAAGTTATATTCACGGGTCCCTAGAAACAGGAGGCAGGGTACACCACACAGGCCGTGTGGAAGAAGCACCAAATTGGGCAGAGGGCAGAGGGGGTGAGAGGGAAACGTGGGCAGGAACCTTTATTGAAGTTTCTGCGAGAAAGACAAGCAGGGTAGGCAGTTAGGATGGGCTAGTTTGGACAATTTCCACAGGTTCTGAGGGACAGGAACCACCCCAAGTCTCCTGATACCTGGCCCTAGGGTAAGTGGGGCAGGGGGATAGTGTCCCTGAGAGGAGGAGCTTGATAAAGGAGGTGGTTGAGGGTAGGGGCTCTGGATTGGTTGGTTTGTTTATGAAAGGTTCACTCCTGGGAGGTGTTTACTATCTCTAGGTATTGACTACCTCTGGAAGGGGCAGTCTCTCCATGATCAGCAAGACCCCAAAATGTCAAAGCATCAGAAAATAAGAAAATAATTAACACAAAATGGCTTGTTGAAGGCCTATAATAGATACACCCATACATACATATACACATGTAATACATGAAAAATATATTAATGCTAGTAAAATGTATTAATTGCTAGTAAATTAATGTATTAATGAATTTAATACATTAAATGTATTAATGCTAGTAAAATAAAATACATACACATACACACATACACATATATATTACATATAACATATATGAAAAATACAAGTATTAAGGCAAGTAGAATACATACATACATACACACACACACACACACACACAAATAATCTGTGCCCCCCCAAAAAATACTTTCTCAGTTTCTAGGAACAATAGTACAAGACTGATGAAACTACCTGATTGTATGATCCTTGCACTACAAGTAAACTAGAAGTCACATGGCGAGTGGAGAGTAGGTTGGATTTAGGAATACGTGAACTGTGGTTTTTCCTTTGCCCTCTATTCCTTTAGGATTCCTCTTTAGCTCCTTCTATTTTTTTTCCCCCATCCAGTGGTGAAATTGAGTCACTGCAGCAGCTGAGGCAGAGAGCTTTTCCTTCAGGATTCATGGCCTATTTCTCAGTTCTGGGAAAACAACTCTAACGAGTCAACAAAGTGAAGAGAGATAAAAGTGTTGGGAAAGACTGATTTCAAACAATCAAAACTGCTTTGGGGATGAGGATGAAGTTGGGGACATTACTGCCTTGTATACCACATACTATAATATTTATTATGTCTATTGTTTATTGTGTGTGTCCTTCTTTAGAATTTTAACTCCCCAAGGGCAAAGATCCCTGAGTTTTTTGTTTATCAATGTATCCAAAAGGCCTAAAACAGTCTTGTACCTTATACACACTCTGCAAATATTTGCTGAATTGAATAAATGGCTGCTGATCTATAAACTATGCTGCTTTCAAATAAAACTAAGACAAGGACATTGATAGCGTATCCTCATCCCCTGTCTGGCCCCTTGGATTTGATTTGACCCTCTGTGCTTAGAATGATGAAGTCTGTTGAGGCTGTTTTCAGGAGAGGCTGTGAGACTCTGGGCACAGAGTCTCATAGAAGAGCTGCCCTGGGACACAGAGAGGAAAAAGTAATCAATAATGGAGGGGGAAAAAAAAAAAACAAAACAAAACATGGGAAACAAACAAACTCAAACTAGAAATGAAATAAGCTATGGCTTCTGTAATCCTCCTACACATAACAACTATGGGTTTTGGACAAAATACAAAAAGCAGCTATCCAGAGGCACTGAAGAGCAGCCAAGCAGGCAGACAATGGAGGGGAATCTGCATTTGGAAGAAGGAGATGACAGTGGGAAAGTTCCCATTATCAGAGCTCTTTGCTGGAAAGCCAGTCCCAATCCATGCCAAATAAAGGCTACTAAAACATGAATGGAGGCCGGGCGCGGTGGCTCAAGCCTGTAATCCCAGCACTTTGGGAGGCCGAGACGGGTGGATCACGAGGTCAGGAGATCGAGACCATCCTGGCTAACACAGTGAAACCCCGTCTCTACTAAAAAATACAAAAAAACTAGCCGGGTGAGGTGGCGGGCGCCTGTAGTCCCAGCTACTCGGGAGGCTGAGGCAGGAGAATGGCGTGAACCCGGGAGGCAGAGCTTGCAGTGAGCTGAGATCCGGCCACTGCACTCCAGCCTGGGCGACAGCGAGACTCCGTCTCAAAAAAAAAAAAAAAAAATGAATGGAAAATCTGTAGTCTTACTGGCATGAAGAGTCAGGAGACAGGGTTCATGGTGATTATAGTAACCAGAAAGTGAGGAGGGGGTAATCTTGGAAAAATGAGAGCCAAAGAGGGGGAAGTAACATGTTCTATGTATAAACTCTGCACAAGTCATTGGCTGACTCCTGAACCATGTGTGCAAATAACCCAGCTAAGGCTAGAAGAACCAATCAGAGATTTCTGTTGCTGCACACTGGAGACAGTTTAGAGTTTGAAATAGTTAAATTAGCTGCCTGCTTAAAACAAATCAGCACTCTTCAGAGGAATACAACAGAACCCAGAGGCTCTGCAACATGTCATTCACAGTGTTCTGGATAATATCTAAAATGCTAGGCATATGAAGAAAAAAAGAAAACGTAAGCCAAAAACAATCAATGCAGACTGACACTCAGATAAATAATTCGCAGACAAAAATTTTAAATCAGCTATTATAACTATGCTCCTCAATGTAAAGGAAAATAGGTTTGTAAAGAATTAACAAATACAAAATCTCAGAGAACTAGAAACTATTAAAATGATAAAATAAAAATTCTAAGACCAAAAACTGTAATACAATATTTGAAATAAATGTTGCCATATGGGCCTGACAGTAAATGGAAATGACTGAAGAAAAATTGAGAGAATTTAAAGACAGATCAATATAACTAATTCTATCTATATAAAGGAAAAAATACTGGGAAAAATGAGCAGAGCTTCTGGGACTTGTGGGACAGTACTGAAAGATCTAGCATACATATAATTAACTTTCAGAAAGAAAAGAGAGAATGGAATAAAAAAATTGAGGAAGATATAATATACATGATAAATGTATATTAGCAGAAGTGAGTCTTTTAAAATGTAATTTTAGATTTCAGATATATATGTGATAGAAATGAAAAATTCAAAAAAACATAATTGATATAGAAGATAATAACAAGGATATCCAAATTGTGTGAAAAATGTTCTGGAGATTGAACAAATAGCAAAAGTACAAAAAGATCAAATCACACCAGAGTAACACGTTTCAGAACTGCAAAAAAGTAATATCATAAACCAAGAAATATTCTTAGTCACTTATAACCGAGACATGAGAGTTTTCAACTTTTTTTTTTTTTTGAGATGGAGTCTCACTCTGTCACCCAGGCTGGAGTGTGGTGGTGTGATCTTGGCTCACTGCAAGCTCCGCCTCCTGGGTTTACACCACTCTCCTGCCTCAGCCTCCTGAGTAGCTGGGACTACAGGCGCCCGCCACAATGCCTGGCTAATCTTTTGTATTTTTAGTAGAGACGGGGTTTTACCGTGCTAGCCAGGATGGTCTCTATCTCCTGACCTCGTGATCCGCCCACCTCAGCCTCCCAAAGTGCTGGGATTACAGGCGTGAGCTACTGCGCCCAGTGAGAGTTTTCAACTTTTAAAGAGAAAAACTTTAGATTCCTTTTTAAGTTTTGTATTTGAATCATTTCAAGTTTATTTCATATATCATGAACAATCTGAAAATAATATGTCAAACATTTGTGTAAGCTCCACCTGGTTTAAGAAATAAAACAAGCTGGGTGTGGTGGCACACACTTGTAATCCCAGCTACTTGGGAGGCTGAGGCATTAAGATGGCTTCAGCCAGGAGTTTGAGGCTGCAATGAGCTATGATCAAGGCTGAGAATAGTCACTGAACTCCAACCTGGGCAACACAGTGAGACCATAGAAAGAAAGAAAATGAATGAAAGGAAGGAAAGAAGGAAGGAAGGAAGGAAGGAAGGAAGGAAGGGAGGGGAGGGAGGGAGGGAGGGAGGCAGGCAGGCAGGCAGGCAGGCAGGAAGGCAGGAAGGCAGGAAGGCAGGAAGGAAGGAAGGCAGGAAAGGAGAGAAGGAAACATTACCAAATACCACTGGACACTTGGTCATTTACCCTTCTCTGATTTTACTTTTCTCTACACACCCCCACATTGTAACCACTATTTTGAGGTTTTGTTTTGTTTTGTTTTATTGAGACGGAGTCTTGGTCTGTCGCCCAGGCTGGAGTGCAGTGGTGCGATCTTAGCTCACTGCAAGCTCCACCTCCGGGGTTCACACCATTCTCCTGCCTCAGCCTCCTGAGTAGCTGGGACTACAGGTGCCCGCCACCACGCCCAGCTAATTTTTAGTATTTTTAGTAGAGACGAGGTTTCACCGTGTTAGCCAGGATGGTCTCAATCTCCTAACTTCATGATCTTCCCACCTCTGCCTCCCAAAGTGCTGGGATTACAGGCTTGAGCCACCACACCTGGCCCACTGTATTGAGTTTTATCATTATCTTAACTTTTTAATGTAAGTGCATTTATTGTTAAACAATATGTAGTTTAAGTTTTGATGCTTTGGAACTCGAAATAATACTCTATGTTTTCTTCTAAAACTTTTTGAGTTCAACATTATATTTTCTGATACTCATCTAGGCTGATGCACATAGCTCCTGTTCATTTATTTTATGAACAATATTTTATGAACATATTGCAATTTATTTTTTTAATTCTCCCTTCCACAAATATGTGGATTGTTAAATTTTTTGGTATTACCAGAAATGCCGCTACCAACTTTCTCATACATGAATTCAGAAATGCATGTTTAAGGGTTTCTCTAAAACAGTGTCAAAGCATGGTCCTGTACCGGCAGCCTGATTATCACTTGTGATCTGCTTGGCAATACAAATACTTTAATTGGACTCTACCACAGACCTGCTGAATCAAGAACTCTGAGAGTGGGGGCAGCAATCTGTATTTTATAAGCCCCCTGGAGATTCTGATGCACTGCCAAGTTTGAGAGCTCACTACTCTAGAAGTGTAATTACCAGGTCACAGGAGGGTGCATGCATCTTGATTCTGTAATATTAATGGCTGTCCAAAGTGATTGTATCAACTTATACTCCCACCCATCATTATATGAGTGTCTACTGTTTCACATTCTTACCAGCACTTCATATTCTCAGAACTTTTATTTTTTGACCAATCCAGTTGGCACAGAATGGTATTTACAGTGTCTTATTTTGGTCTTCCTTGATTCCTTTTTTTTTTTTTTTTTTTTTGAGATAGAGTCTCAGTCTGTCACCCAGGCTGGAGTGCAGTGGCGCATTCTCGGCTCACTGCAAGCTCTGCCTCCAAGGTTCATGCTATTCTCCTGCCTCAGCCTCCCAAATAGCTGGGACTACAGGCGCCCACCACCACGCGCAGCTAATTTTTCATATTTTTAGTAGAGACGGGGTTTCACTGTGTTAGCCAGGATGGTCTTGATCTCCTGACTTCGTGATCCGCCCGCCTCGGCCTCCCAAAATTCTGGGATTACAGGCATGAGCCACCACGCCTGGCCCCTTGATTCTTATGAGATTGATCATCTTTCTGTTTGTTAGTCATCCATATTTTTTCTCTGACATGTCTGTTCCTGTCTTTTGTCCATTTTTCTATTGGATTGTCTTTTTTCTGACTGAGTTCTTTATTCATCCTTGTTAGTTAGATGTTTTGGGAATACCTTCTCCTAGTCTGTGTCTTTTAGGTTTGTTTGTTTGTTTGTTTACTTTTAAATGATGTTTTTTGATCAATAAAAGTCTTTTAATGTGTCATATTGATCATGTTTCTGTGTGGTTTGTGATTTTTCATCTTACTTAAGGAATCCTTTCCTACCGTAAGGTAATAAAGATGTTCTACTTTATTTTCTTCTAAAAGTCTTAACATTTTCCTCTCATATTTAGATCTTGAGTCTACATTGACTTTATTATATACAGTGTGAGATATGAATCTGTTTTTTTTCCATATGGATAAACGATTGTCCCAGTTACAGTGAATACATAGATTTTAGGAAGGAGAATTGACATCTTTATAGTACTGAGTCTCCCTCTTCCTATTCTATGATTGTGCAATTTGTCCATTTATTTAGGTCATTTTAAATGTATTTCAGTAAGATTTAATAATCTTTGGTACATTTATTCCTAGGTATCTTATATTTTTAGTTGCTTTATAAATAGTACCTTTTAAAAATAAGTTTATATTTTCCAAGTGTCTGTTTCTGGAGTTAAAAAAAATTTTTTTTTTGTCTGATGGTCTTCTAGCCACTAACCTTACTTAACTTCAAAATGGTAAAAACCAGACCACATTTATCATATTCTGCAATAGCAATCATTACAAGATGCCAGACTAACATCTCTGGAACGCTTAGGAAAAGAGTGAGAGACCTTGGGATACCCCACTTAAGGAAGCTGTCATTCACACAT